CCAACCTGCACCTATATCAGCTAGCAATGCCCGTCGGGGGAGGCGGTGGTTAGGCATGCGCAGCACGTGACCTAGCCATCTTAGTCTATGTAACTTTATAGCCTCGTCGATTGATTTTCCCTCTTTGCCCAACACTCTACGCCTAACGTCAACATTACTTACCTTATTAAACCACCTAACGTGAGACAGAGATCGCAGACATCTATGATCGAAAGCAGTCAACCTTTTCATGTCTTCAACGCGTATTGGCCATGTTTCAGAGCCATAGAGAAGGACGGAGCGAACTGCTGAGCAGTACACACGTCCCTTGGTTGATAACCGGATGTCACGCCTACGCCAGAGATGGTGTAAGTCAGCGAAAGCAGCTCGAGCTTTTCGGATCCGTGCTGAGATTTCATCGCCAATCAGTCCGTTGGTGCTAATACAACTTCCCAAATAGGTGAAGTGGTCAACATGTTCTATCACTTCACTCCCTATCACTAAGTTAGGAGTTGACGTGGTCCAGTCCTGTAGCAGCATCTTACATTTTGTAGGGGCGAATCGCATGCCAAACATACGAAGATTGCTGCTCAAGGTGTTCAGAAGACTCTGCATTTTGTCAGCATCCTCCCCTAACAGGACTATGTCATCTGCATATTCTAAGTCCATAAGACTATTCCCTGGTAACAAGTCGATTCCTAAGTCATTACGTTCAGTTAAGGATACTTCCATCAGCATATCTATGATGAAGTTAAACAGAAATGGGGAAAGTGGACATCCCTGTCGGACACCACTGGTTGTTACCAATTCAGATGACAATTCCCCATAAGCCCTTACACGACTACGTGAGTTTGAATAGAGTGCCTTGATTAGTGCAATGTACTTTCTTGGCACTCCCTTCACAGTCAGACATTGCCATAGTACCTTTCGATCCACGGAGTCGAAGGCCGCCTTCAAGTCAAGAAATATGACAATTGTTGGACGCCGAAAAGTGTGTCTATGTTCTAGAATCTGTCGAAGAGTGAAGATATGATCTATGCACCCTCTACCTGGTCTAAAGCCTGCTTGATTTTCCCTTGTCTGTTCCTCCCGAGTTCTGCTTAGTCTATGCATGATTACTGAGCCTAGGATTTTAGAGACTATGTTCGTTAGGCTGATCCCCCTATGATTATCACACGAGGACTTGTTTCCCTTCTTGAATATCGGTATAATAAGTGACTTACCCCAGTCTGATGGCACTGTCTCTGATTCCCAGACTTTGCCTAGTACCTCAGTTAATCTACAAACTAGTATGTCACCCCCATATTTAAACACCTCCGGAATAATTCCGTCGGGTCCTGCCGCTTTGCCTCGTTTCAAATTACTGATAGCTTTTGTGACCTCACTTACAGACGGCGGACCAGTGTCTATATCCCATTCGGGTGTGTCTGGATGTCGGGGAGGTTCAGTGTGGCTGTAGGCAAGTTAAATTGTCCCTCAAAGTGTTCTTTCCAGCGTTCAAGGCGTCTATCCTGAGAGCTAATTAAGGAGCCATTTTTCTCAGAAATAGTCTCACTTATGATTTGCCTTCTCCCACCCGTTTCCCTGATGAGTCTAAATAGTTGACACTACTGGCATCTCTGCTCATACACAATTTCCGAATTCTAACAAATATGATAACAGTAAATATCTTCCACACAACTGACGATAATGGCTTATTTGTTAAAACCTATAGTTTATTGACAAACACAGCTTGTGCTTCCATCTTACTTTAGTACCACAGTTATCAAATACTGAAAGGTTCTTCAGGTAATTGTCTCAAGCAAACTAATGAAGTAGAATTAAAAATATCACAAATCCACAAGTAACTAGCAAAGACCCTATGTTTATACACTGAGCTGCAAGCTTCTTTAGCTTGCAGTATTAAAGCTTTTTAAAAATGCAGCCGTTACTCATTGCTACTTTCTGAACATTTTATGGCCAAGGTTGGATTTAACTTGGTTTAACATTTGTTCCCAACGATACTTTCAACGGAACTTCATACACTTACCTGGTGTTCAGTCATCAATAAAAACGCGAGATGAACTTAACGGGTACAAAAACTATTAAAGTTAAAAGTAATATTCTAAAAGAGTGGAGGTATTTTACGGAATGCATAAGGAAACGAATCTATTTAAGTTCAAATAGGAGTGGTAAACCCTTTATTTCATGTCACACTTAAGATGGAACACCTATAATATTTTCATAATTTCCTCTAGAGCACAAGTCTCACAAACATAAAGTAAAGCAGCATTGAGTGTTGTGATTATGTTACCCAGAATGAAATCCTTCAGTACATTTCTAGCACAACTGAATAAAATATGATTATCACAGATTCAACTTAGGTGACAACTAATAATTTTTCGAGCAACTTCGCGGATTTAAGTAGACTGTCTTGACTGATATGACAAACTTCCTCAGTACTACTATTAGGCAGAACGGATATTTCCACATCACCTGTCTCATGATGGTATCAAATCTAGCAATCAACGTTGATAAATACCTTAGAGACTGTCAGACGTCTTCAAACACGCTTGATCCTACACATTTGGTATTCTACAGCTCTGAATGCAGTTTGAATGAATATGGTCCCCATGATCTAAGACACCGTATGAGTCAAGTTTCTGTGATCACCACAGAAAAATTGGTCTCCTTATTTGTAAACAGAGATTACGAATGAAATACAACAGTCCATTGAACTGTCTCAGATTTTTAAACACCATTTAGTACCTTGATTAACTTAGTCCTTAATTACTTATTAGTTTCATCAGATTATTAGCCTACAATCCTCTGTCTTCTTTCAGGCATGATACAGTCTTCACAACTTTAGTCGGATTCACAATACCGATACACATACCTTGTTTTTAAGCAAGCTTCAGGACATGAATAACTGTGGTATAGCTAAAGGTCAGATCACCAGGTCCTCAAAGTGTTCTTCTTATCATTTTGTCTGCCTTCCTTAGAAGTTTAAAAGACTCTATGTTTTTCAGAGACCGCTTCAACTACCAAAATATATCAAAATAATTAACAGGCACCATTTGTTGTTAAAACCTTTCCAACCAATTTGTTACAAACACCTTTAGGCAATCTATTTTTCAAGGAATGAGATAAGATTCGGGTGAGAGATGAAAGCTATAGACGCAGTGCCTAAGGATGCATGACACAAAGTAAGTGGCGACATAACCTATTCAAAGTACTGAATTAAGACTTTGTATGTAGGTTTCAAGCAAATAAATCAGTAGCAAAACTTTCTTCAATTATTCATAGAGTAGACTATTGTTTGTTCTTTATCAAGTGATGGGTTTCTTATAAAAAAGTGTGACCCTATCAAAGCATATTTTTGAGTGAAACAAAGTTATACAAAAGTAGCAAAAACTTCAACAGCGATGACTAGCTGTTAGGAATAACAGTAAAAACATAATTAGAAATAATAACTAAAAAACAATGCCACTTATGCGCAATAATGGCAGTACAGTCAATAATTGAATACGAAGTTTGTAAAGACTGAGACATTAACAACCATCAACACCAAATCTGTATATCCAACGAAACACTTGAAATATAAAACATATCCAAAGAAAACTAGTATTTCTACCAGATTTTCCAGCTGAAGATCTCATGAGAAGTAAGCTGGCTACCAGAAACTGAAGTTATCAACTCACAAATTATAATATGTGTGGAATGGATGGCTAGTATTTTTACACTCTGATGCAAATAACCTTTAAAAATCTCATCAATCATGAAAAAACTGGAGCGAATTAACTCTATTTGCCTTAAGAGTACTTCAACGTTCAAGAGGTAGACTGGAAACCTAAAAATTCATTATAATTAATTTTCCTACTAATGAGTAGGTAGTTCAAGAAAACTGAAATAAGTGGAAGTTGGTTCAGTGTAAGTTTATCAAACGATCTATAATGGTAACGATTTGGTTTAAATTGAAAATACATCATTACACGTTAGATAGTTAACGATCTTACAAAGCGCTAATTGAGAGATATAGGTTCACGTCTCAATGTCAAACACCTAAGCTAAGTAAAAATTGAATAGAATATATGTTATTTATACACTCAGAGAAGCAGATTTACACGTAAGGTACGACAGTTAGACAATACCGAACACTTTTCATTTAAAAACTCGAACATGAATTCTTACACTTCAGAAAAACAATGAGGACATGCAGAGTAGTTGAAAATCTAAGTTTAAAAAAATCAACTTTAGTGAATTTAGTGATCCTGATGGTATTCAAACTTAGCAGTCATATTGTGCATTTCATTACAGTGAACAAAATCGGGATGAAAGTGTGAAATTAAAACAGTCGAACGCTAACTATCATTGAAACTTTTACCTAGATATTCTCATTGTGCTTGAATAAAAAAAAACAGTGAAAACATAATTCCTACTGTAATCAGGGTTACAAGAGTGAACCTATTTAAACAACTTGTACACCAGCCAGTTTTAAAAAAGTTATCAGAATTTTATATTCCAAAAAGAAAAGCATTCAGAATATTAGTCGAAATAAGGAACATCAAACATTACACTTGTTTCAATCTTGTCATAAGTTTTGTCTGTATTTAAAGATTCCAACATTAACCCATAATAATAAAATATCACTTTGCTAAAGCAAAACACCTCAGAATCTTTAGTTTCAAAATTCATCATGAGCTGACATCAGTTAGAGAACCACTGGAAAATCTGGAAGTACTGAATAGTTGTTTCATCCTAGTTTAGGACTCTTCATCAGTATATACCCACACCACGGGGTTTAAACCCAGGATCTTCTGCTTACAAGACGAGCTCATAAGGCATTAAACCACTGCTGAAAAGTCCCAAACTAGAATGAAACAGCTGTCCAGTACTCCCAGGTTTTCCAACAGTCCTCTAATCCGGTAACTAATCAATCAAATCCCTACAAATCAATACTTGAAAATCAGAATCCTTAATCAAGTTTGAATAAAAACAAAAAACTACAAAATTAGACTTAAAGCTTTGATGAAAAAACTTACCTTTTCTCTTACATTCGGTTTGAAGTATGAATGTAATATTCTCATATTTATCTTTAAGTTGATCATGCAAGCGATGACGAGTTTCTAATTCATATACAAGTTCATCAGACCATAGTTCACAGTGTTTAGATAATCTAGCATGAATAGATTCCAATTTTTTCAAATCTAAAAACATTAGGTCAATAGGTTATTAAATAGGGTAAAAAATTAATATACGCTGAATCAGAGTAAATATACAACTCAGTAACTGCTAACATGTTCATGTAATAGATTATATACTACACTCAATGATTAAACATTTAGGATAGTACCTAGCTCTTCCTGTAGAACAAGATTGAGGGGATTTTAAATCTGCAACATAATATATGAACGCTTATACAAACAGTGAATACCACAAGGATAAATAAGCTTCGGTTACTGAATTCAAAGTGTAAACTGTAACACTAAGATATGTTTCGGTAAAAAGATTTCATAATACACGTAAAATACTCGTGACTACTGACGGAAATTCAACATGGAACTTTGTAGAGAAGTACAGCAGTGCTATATGGAGATATGCCACACAAAGCGGGACAAAAATCAGAAAACTACATTCAAAATGTAATAAAAAGCAGAAAGGTGACGGAGAAAGAATAGTAACATGGAGGAACTTGTGGGTTTAGTAGACCTGAGAGATCACAAGTAGTGGATGTATCTGCACCAACGAAAACGAGCTTTGCCTATATCACGAATAGTTTCCAACCACTGGTAATTATGTGGTGAGAGCTGTCTGCTAACTAAAATTGGTAGACAGCAATTTACGTCAGTGTTTACGTCCCAAATCTCGGTCACAAGATAAAACAATAACAAAGCTTAACCTTGAGGAACTAAACAACCAGTCATATTGGACTTGGCGTGTGGAAATACGATTCGGAGACATATGGTCCAACCATCAAAGAAACGGCCACAAAGAGATGACAGAATAACTTTCAGCGAGAAAACAACCAATCAGAAGACGCTGTTACCCTGCTGATAGTAATAAATAAAGTACATAAAAATATATACATATATATTGATTCTTTCAATAGACGACTTGTTGACTGGCCCTTGTCTTCTGTCGTTACAATTAGATTCTCCGCGGACCATAACCATGTAGTCTACATATTTAAACCTGGATCAAACTAACGGTCATAAGGTTTATGCAGTGAAACCAAATTTCGATTTTTGACCACCCTTAACTCCTTTCCAACCTACTCCTGCATGAGCCAACATTGCTCATCGAGGGAGGCGATGACAAGACGCGTGCAACACGTGTTCTTGCCAACAAATCTCGACACCTACCCTCAATATTACTCACTTTATTATACCATCTGACACGCGAGATACAACGGAGACACGTATGATTAAAGACAATTAGCCTTTTCATATCTTCCATTTTCAGTGGCGATATCACATAGACATAAAGGTGCACGGAGCAAACTGCTAGTACTACTTAAAAATAATTATAGGTAGCTGACTGCCTCAGATACCTGACTGACTAAGGAAGTACCGACACTGACGCATGAAAAGTTAATAAATTTAGATGTTAACTATACAAATCCTAGAAAGCTACTCTAGTTACATAAAGGTAACCAGATGATAGCGACAGATTATACAGAATTTAATGAAAGTTAAGAAAAGAGATTAGATGTTAAAAGACAAGTGTAAAGAAAAAGCATTAATTTATGTTAAAAAAAATCTAACCAAAACACTTGGTATAACGTTGTACTCAAAAACATTATCTTCCCACAACACCCTACTCATTAGTTCTCCGGAAGAGGAAAACCAATTGGATTGGTATCCAATGCAAAACTACCGGATTAACTGGACACGTAAGTTATATTTTCCAGTCTTTGTTTTGTTAACAGTAAAGATATGAAACAATAAAGACCGCTAGTAGTCTTTCAAGTCTATTATGTGTAACATATGGCTTGAATAAGATGCTACTAATGGATTCCAATAATTGTGTATTCATATTCCATTCTAATTCGTTTTACTGGTAGGTTATCCACAAGGAATCTGCTATGCTCAGAATAAAGAACAAAATTCGGATTCTCAACACTAATATCACGTAAATGTTTCGATATGGTTCAAATACCTGGAGAACGAGTCACGAAAAGTATTCTGAACAGCCTTCGGACATTTATCGACAGATACCTTCGCTCTATACTGAAGACCAGATGACCAGAAAGAATTATCAAGAAACCGATCAAGAATCTGTTGCTCACCAAATACGCCGAAGAAAATGGAGATGGGCTGGATACAGGTTGAGGACACTGTTTATCAACATCACGCACAATGCAGTCGCTCCAGTGAAACTCAAATGAGAAACAGAGAGGTGGGTGAATCCGGGGCGACATGAAAGAGAAGGTGTGAGGAAGAGATGAAAGCCTACGGGTAGTCGTGGAGCTAGCTAAATAGCATTGCCGAGAGCAGGAATATACATATATTGTATGGAGGATTTAATCATGAGCTGACATCAGTTAGAGAACCACTGGAAAACCTGGGAGTACTGGACAGCTGTTTCGTCCTAGTTTGGGACTCCTCATCAGTACGCACCCACCGAGGTTCGAACCCAGGACCTTCTGGTTACAAGGCGAGCTCGTAGACCATTGAGCCACTGGGACCCGATCCAATGGTTCTTGACTTCTAACTTCTGCCAATTCACGACATAGCGCGACCACTTCGCAATGTCTTCTTCGATGAGTTACTGCCTCATCTTCGACCTGCTGTACCTTACTGGTCACGGCTTCCCACTAGAACTAGGACGAAACAGCTGTCCAGTACTCCCAGGTTTTCCAGTGGTTCTCTAACTGATATCAGCTCATGATTAAATTCTCCATACAATCAAACCAAAACCAACACTTGAAAATATACATATATATATAAATCGAAGGCACTATATTATGAACGTAACAGTATGGTAATACTTATGCGTATATAAAAATCGATTGGCTCATTCCTAAAAAGTAATTATTGATTGGATTACAAAGTGAAGATGGTACGTCGTAAAACACTTTGAAAGCATGCTGACAAATTTAAAGTTGGAGTACGTGCAATAATAAAATAAAGTCATAAATTGACACTATGAACTTTTAGAGCGATTTTCTTTCAAGTGTAATATGCATGTTTATGAACTAATCAATATATATGTCAGTCTAAAAAATATTCTCAACAACAATCGATTAGTGCCTTCTTACTCTATTCTTATTCAATGTGGTCTATATTGGGGAAGTTGGTAGAAAGTGTGATTATGAATGGACAGTCTTAAGCCATTCAGTTTTCATGATATGGCTTGAAACTATTCTTGACGGCTTCAAAAAATTCATTTCATCTTTCAGACACTTATTTGCTTCTTTAACTTGAACTGACACATTTTCTTGATACATTCTACGTTAATGAGTTCGTTTTTCTCCACCTACTGACATGAGAACTGAAAAACTCCTCCTTTAGCGATTCCTCCTGCAATACTCTCATCAGACTACGTGTTCTACTCACTGCCTTCACGTGACAATGGATTACTTCACAAAAATGAAAAGGCTAGAGAGAATGTACGGAACATATCACCAGACTAGTGAACATGGCAGTCTACCCAGGGGAGTTAGAAAAACCTGACACTAAACCCATGATAAACAACTGCTTTAGAATCTGAAAGAATCGAACGGAGTATGAATCTCTTCTAGTCACCGGGAACGCAGATGTACTACCTTGTAGACCAAACAAGTCAAAGGCTGAAGGAGTAGTACACTAAGACATTCAACTTCCATAGGTCTGGGCATTCTGACAGGATACAAATCTATGGATAATTCTATTCACCTGTACTCTTTCCGATGTTACATCATCGATCGTATAATCAACTATATTATCCATTATGATTAGATTTGTATCCCCAGATATTATTTATTTTGTTTCATTTTTAATACATTTATGATTTTTATTATCTACTTTCATCTGTTCGCTATTGTTTGGAATCTTGGTTTATCCTTACCGTTTTGAGTAACTAGTCAGCTCCATTCTGAAAGCTGGCCTACAGTGTTGAAATTTACCACAACTACTCTGAAGCTGCGTGATGCATTCTACCTCGCCAACTACAGCGTCCGTATATTGAGACGAATCGGACAACAGGTAGGTCTAGGAAGAGAGGCCTTGATGCATGTGCATCACAGACACCACATGCAACATCTCAGTGAAGTACTTCGAATATATTCTCTAGCTGCGACTTCAAATGGTGACTGCCATCTGAGCTTATCTGGAAACCTTGTTTAGTCCAGATCCTCCTTAGTAAGTGTCGGTGGTACATTTAGCCCTAAAGCCGAAGCCGCATGACTCGACTGGATCCTCCAAACAGTCGTTTATGTGCTGTGAGGCCACAACGTTACGCAAGAGTGAGAAGCGATGGGTCAGAAAGGCAGTACCTATTTGTCATCTCTGCCCATACTACCAACGGACTGCAGTCCGAGTGCAATTAAGTAGATTTTGTCATAACCCAAGTGACCTTCTGAAGCTGGTACATCAAACGGACATCACGGTGGTAACTGAGGACTAGAATGTACAGGTCAGGCATCTACGTTCAGAGGAGTGTCTTCTAAGCGGTCAATAGGTTCGGTAACGTCCAAGGTCAGACGATAAGAAATGTCTTCTGAAGCTTCGTGCAGATCACAACCTATTTATAGCTAGCATTAACTTCCAACACAGTCTTCACCACAATGCTACCAGACGTCTGCCCTATGCCACTCAAGCCTGGATTTAAATCAATCACATTGCTATCAGTTTCTAATGACGTGGGTGAAGGACTGTTGCTCCCTTTAGAGCATGCATGAATTCCCATCATGCTTTGGAGTGTGCCAGGTTCATCTTGCGATTTGGTGGTGATCATAAACGTCATCCTCAACTTCTGGATGCCCGCTAGTCCACTCTGGAAGATAGTCAGTGTAACATGTGCAAAGCTCTCACACTTAAGGTCACACAGTGCACAATTAAGGATAGCAAAACCTGGTGGTCACAACGTGAAAGTAAGGTGTAATCACCAACCTGGGAGGAAACATGTGCTTTTATATGCCAGTGGTTCGGCGGTAGAACGCTCCCTGACCCCGCATATAGTCCATGAGTCGATCTCCGACTCATTCCTAAACCTCCCTAAGCCAGTAGTAAGGCCGATCAAGAGGAGAAGCTAGTCGTGAGGCTAAGGACCCCACCCTGTAAAAACAAAACACCACTGCTACCGAAACTTCAAAGCTCTAGCTTGAAGCCTTATGTTCCACTCGGAACGTAAACGAATAGAGAAATATGTCGTCATTTGAGCCAAGGGGAACAAACAGCATGGATTCAGCAAGGCTACCTGCCAGACAGCTGGTGCGGTAGTTAACATCCCAAGTCTCCTGGACCGCAGGACAGGGCACTTTGGGAAACCCATAATGGCAGTATCCAATGTGAGTAATCACAGCGCTCCATAATCACCTAATACCGACTACATAACGAATCGGAGAACCAGAAGGAACTCCATATACCAAAACACCATAAGACGCCTGGGCTAGAAAACTTGTCCCCCAGCTCTTTTTAAAGATGGAAGTGAGACTCTAATCAAGGAACTGATTGAAGAAATGAGAACGAGGCAGCTCTGAAGGATGTACATGGTGGTAATGTAGGCCCTCTGTATAGAGACTCTGCGACTTTGGGTGTGCAGTCAATATCATTTTTCTGTGCTACCCAAATCGAAACTTAATCAGCTGATGGCCAGTATCTGTAGATATGGTATGTGTTTTGCTCCATCCAAGTGCTCAGTATTTCTGTGAAACGGGCAAAAGCCGGCAGCTGCACTCACACTTTCAGGCGAACCAATAGAGGTAGTCGGTAAATTCATGTAAATAGGTAGTTGCTTTTGCTTGTGGAAGAGTGGTGGGAGAAACCTTTAACCGTATAGTGAAGACCAAGGTGAAATACGACAACCTGGCCCACCTCTGGCCCTATCACGACGTTAGTTTGGCAATTAAGGATCGAGTTTACAATGCTTTGGTGCATGAAGTCTTGCTCTACGATTGTGGAACTTTACGTCTTCGAGCTGAGGATACATGGAGACTCTGTTTGTTAGACCATCACTACCTGAGTCTGGTGACATAATTATGTAACCGATTCTGAGGCCCGACGGTGTTTTACGACACGGTGTAGATAATCTTTCAATAAGTGATGTCATCTTGGGACACTGACTTCAGTGACCTCGACATGTGCCGCGAATGCTATGCAAAGCAGCTTGCATACCGTTTAGTAATTGCTAGTCCTGGGGCTGAAGGTTGGTGGGTGTATAAAGTTAGTACATTTCGGTACATCGAAACTTCCAGGTTGGGTTGCGACGGACAAACCAGACCAATGGCTACAGAGGTTATTAGACACGGTTTAGAATAGAAGTCGACGGTGAATACGCTGCAATTATTGTTTCTTCTGTTTACGAACCCAGTATGAAGTAATAAATGCTCGTTTAAACGCCGCTCATAAGCATGCTTGCTCATTTTCATAATGTTCTTGATTAATTATTCTATTTCTTCTTCATGTGTTGTTCGTGTATGGCATATCTCTTTTGTCAACACTGTACCTATTTTGTATTTAATAAATCAATATACACTAATAAGTTCTCAACCACCCATGGATGTATCTGTATAGCTGCGATAAATTCTGAATTTATTAACCATTGATTTCCAATATGTTGAAGAATTCAACAAGAAGCCTACAGCTCCGTATACAGGACGGTCTACAAAAACTGGTGATTTTATAGATATCTGCTAAATACGGGAAAAATGATGGTCCTTTCACAGGTAAATAGAAGTGACTGAATACAACATTTGGATTCAAGGAAACACTGTCAGCATCGTGTCAGCACAGTGTGTGGGTTAAGACTTCAGGACCGTGTTGTCACTCAACAGAATTCCTGAATGACACCATGCTATTTAATACAATGAAGCATAGGTAACTGTTGACAATGTTTCTAACTAGAACACTTAATACTCTTAGATTTGATATTGTAATTGTAAAACTATCAAAACTCAGGGATAGTCTGTAGAATTGGTGGATATTAAGAGAATTAGTTGTGTTTGTCCCTAGATTTAGGAAGTACCAGGTATATAAAATGCTAAAGAGGAAACCGGTGTTTGAAAAATTGCCAAAACATTTCACGTTAGGCACGAAATACCAGAAGAGTCTCAGTTTGCAACGAGTTCAAATACTTCAAACATTTATGACTAAATGACAGATTCAATATAGAACCTTCCACAGAAGTTCACTTGTTTAAGTTACCACACGCCTTGTAGCACAAAAAAGCACATAAAAGAGAGAAAAAGAATTCAAACGAAAAATCCAAGATAAGTAGAAAGGTGAGGAAGAAATAACAGTAAAATGGAATAACATAAGGGTTTCATGTACATGAAAGACCACAATCGGTGAACGCAGCTGTGCCATTCACAACGATTTTCAGACATATCACCAACAGTCAACAGCCATTAGTTTTGGAATCCCGAGAACTCCAACCATGTAGTCTACACCTCCCTATGTGGCTAGATAAAAGCACCATTCAAAGACTTCATGGACTGACGCCAGGATTTGGTTTGATTATCCCTAACGCTTTTCCAACCTATGTCAGCTTACATTGCTCGTCAAAGAAGGTTATGGATATATATGAGCAGCATGTGATCTAGTCATCTCAACCGATTCACCTTCACAACTTCATCTATTGATTTAACCTCCTTAACTAACACTAAGCCTAAACTCGGTGTTGCTCACTATATCATACCACATAAAACGGAACATATGAGGTAAACATCAGTGGGCAAAGACAGGTAGCCTTTTCACATCTTTCACCTTCACCGGCCATGTTTGAAAACTTACTTCCTCAAGTTTTCGAAAAATGAAGTGAAGAACTACCACTGCCTTTGATCTATAACAGTGAGCGTTTAGCTAAAATAAAGTATCCCGGGGATCAATTGTACATGACCTAATTTCAGACATTCAAGTTTTAACAGTGTCCGACTCATATACTAAGATGTATGCTAATTGAGGATACTTTGTATTGTAGGGTTAGCCCCTCCTAACGCCTATAAACAAAACGAAAGTGGGTCCCGTAGAAATTTTAATAACTTTTACACTTCGATATATAACTACTGTTTCAGGCGGTCGTTTCAAAAAAGCAGAGCTCATTACTATGAAAATTGGCGTCTAGAAAAGCACTAGCTGACTGTAAAGTGAAATCGCGTGCAATTTTACCTTAATATCCATTGTTCCCAGTCCCTGGAACGTCGAACTCTATAAAAACTCGTTACTTTAGTATTACACTGTCGGAAATTTATTTTAGGACGTATCCTGTTCAAATGTTTCTGCAAACATAACTTCTTAATGAGGCTGCAATGAGTTATGGCGTCACATAGATGTTGAGAAGCTCAAAGAAACTACAAAAACTTCTACGAGCTGTAAAAGTAGTAAATTACAACGATACTGAAATATAAGCAGAAACGTGAATACTACACAGTCACGAATCTAACCAGAAAAAAAAATACTGAAAGGCTAATAATCTTGAGTTCAAAGCGAATAATGAGTGACGACTGACTCCTAGCACTTTGTTGACATTACGTTCTACTCATTCCATACACAGCATTGAGGAAATTAAATCCCTTGGAATATATACAGACAGTGATTAGGTTAACCTGTGAGCTGTTGACAGCATAATAGTGTAAGAATTCAAATGAAGTGGACAAATGTTTGCTGCTCTGCCTAAAAACTTCTCTAGTTAGCATTAGTCAACTTCCTACAAAACAGCCTATTCAACAAACTTATTCTTAAGGTGAAATCCCTACTTAAACACTGACAAATATGAATTTAAAACACTAAAAAAAATGTTCATTGAAAAGTAACAGTGAATTACCTGATTTTTTCAACTGCTCGCTGATATCAGACTGAAAAACTTACATAAGTGAAGAAAAATTAAGCAAGATGACAGAGTTTTTCAAAATATTTACTATATACAGCAGGAAATAACAAGAATAATTCCCAATAGCCATAAAATTAAATATTTGATACACATCAAATAAAAAGCTCAAATTAAATTGTAGTTTATAAGAGATACACATATTTAATATGACCAACAATCCTGTAGAGTAGAGTAACATTGTGCTTATTTAAACTCATGAGAAGAAACACACCCAGAATATTAAAGGACAAACTGAAATTTCACCAAAATAAAAAATTCCCATTAACAAAAAAGTGCAAAATAAAATATACATCCGATACCAACAAAATAAGATGTTAAATAAAAACATAACATAGAACTTTCACTGATGACCAACAAATAAAATTGCCTACTTCCGGTTTCAATAATTTGGTGTGATCGATTTCAGTTTCTAGGATGCCTTCTCGAAAATATACATCAAGGTTAGGATAAAGCGTAATCAACGTTCTCTTGTCTTTGTTGTGCTAAATTAACAAAGAAGCATCATATGAACAGCAACACTGTCGTTAAAGAGTGTAATTTACTGCGTATGAAGTACAGAAGCAAGTTAGGGGATCACGAGAACCATCAGGAAAATGCAAGGGTATCTCGACATAATCTGCTCGTTAGAAATGATCAGAGCTCAGAGTGTGTCTATTTGGCTTACGATATATCGGATAAAATTTTGTCAAGATTATGTAAATTGATGAGACACTGACAAACATTAACAGGACTCAGAGGCCGAGCTTAAAAACACAGCAAATTTAAGCTGGTCTCTAGGATAATGCCATGAACTTGACTCGAAGAATATATATATATATATATATAATCTATTCCTTACGTTCCGAGGAGAAAATAGCACTTCGAGCAATGGAATTTCAGAAGGCCTAGTATTATGCTTTTACGATGTGGCGTTGCTAGTCTGACATCTAACCCTGACTATCGGGGAGTAAACTAGGCAAGGTTTAGCGGTGCGTTTGTCGAAAGTCAAATCAAATCGCCAACATGGCTGATGAGCATTGAACCACTGATCTCTCTCTCTCTCTCTCTCTCTCTATATATATATATATATATATATATATATATATATGCTAAATAAATATAAATAGCTGATTAGAATGGCTGAATTTCCCAACAAGAAAGGTGGTCGGAACATTAAACTATTGAAATAAATAAAACAAAGTTCTTGAATTGAACCAGTTAGCAGTATTAAGACCATGAGAAACAACAGGAAAATCTGAGCAATGTGAGAGAAAATTCTTATAATAAGATGGAATTTTCACATTGATGAACAGAGTGAAATCGATCAGAGATAAAACTGAACAGAACTGTTGTTATTGATTTAGATGAACTCTTATAATGATAAGACCAAATGTATAAAATCAGCTAATTGTTTATCAATTGTTGACCAGTGTAAAAAGGAAGAGTACAAGTTGAAAACATCACAGCTGATAATCAATCCAAACACAGATTGTTTAATCTAATAATGACTAACTTTCCAAGGTGATATCTTCCATTTCAGCATTCAGAACATTAGAATTTATAATTTATGGATGGTGAGTAGTGGTGGAATCCAGGGTGCGCACTTGGGACTCAACATCTGAATGTACTTGCATTTCCAAGTGAGTGATGATGTTCCAGATGACGAGTCCTAAATAGGACGAAATGCGCACCCTGGATTCCACTGCTAGTCACCATCCACAAATTAAATTCTAATCAAAAAAGCCCAGACATCGTCGAAGCATCTGCACAAGAAGCCGACATATCAACCTGAGACCGAGCACTTCGGTCCAATCAATCGACAGGAAAATTTAGAATTAAATTGAATTCAGAACACTAGTTGGCAAAGAGTCAAACAGGACTTTCGAGAGAATGATTGTTTTAAAGTTGGGATTATTATTATTATTCTCTTGAAGGCTATATAATGACTACTGAATTGCACGTAAATTCATAGACGTCTATGTAAGCGATTAGCAACTTATTAAGTCAGTCTCAATTGTTCACATCATATTTGTGACAGAAACAATTCACCTAGAATTTTTCTCTCTTAATAAAACTGCTTCAACACTACGGAGTGCCTCGAACCTTCACTAGCCTCATCCAACGTTTATATAACAGTGCCACGCGTCAAGTGATTTACAACGGAAAACTCGGCGAAGCCTTTGAAGTGAAGAGAGGAATAAAAGAAGACTGTCTAGTATCATCGATGATATTCTTGACTACGGCGGACTAGATCACGCGGCAGACCGTAGGCTGTGAGAAGACAGAAAGATGTTGGACTGACAACAAGACTTTAGAAAATTTGAACTTCATGGAAAATTCATCTTAGGTCACGCAAACTAGAAGGTTTGCAGGCGAAAACCAACGGGTTGGTAGCAAAGACAGGAATTCGAGTGCACAAAGAGAAGACAGAGATAAAGAAGAAACCTAACCAGCAAGATATTAAGGCAGAAACAGTGTCAACGCACACATGTTTTTAACAAAATAAATTATCTGAATTGACGGAAAGAACCAATTTCACACTGTTTCGCAGTCAAGTTTTCAATGTATTACCATGACAAAATTTTGACACGAAGTTATTTCACTATCACTTAGTTTTTTTTTGAAGTAAAATAAATATCAGAATCCTTTGGGTCTGTCTGTCTGTCTGTTTTCGACATAAAACTTTACACAAATGTGCGGAAGTTCAAATCACCACACTCCGTGTAGCACGCGAAGCAAGAGAAGAAAGTACAAGAAAAGCATAATAGAGACAGTAAGCAGCGGTGTGAGACAAAGGAGGAGTAATAACGAAGAACAAAACAGTTTTATTGGAGATCATAAGTCACAAGGAGTGGATGCATCTGCGCCACTGAGAACGATTTTGAGCCATGTCACCAATTGTTTCCAACCATAGATTTTTACCGTCCCGATGACCCCAGCCTGGAAGTCTACACCTTCCTACGTGGCTTAGACCAACTGTTGTGGATTCCATTGACTGATGCCAAGTTTTTGTTTGACCACCGCTAGCTTTTTTCCAGCCTGACCCTATATCCGCTAACATTGCTCGTCGAGGGAGGCGATGGCTTGGCATACGTAACACATGTCCTAACCATCTCAGTCTTTGTAGCTTCACGACTTCGTCGATTGATTTCCCCTGTTTACCTAGAACTCTGCGCCTAACCTCCATGTTGCTCACCTTATTATGCCACTTTACACGGGAAATAGAACGCAGGCACCTATGATCAAAGACAGCTAGTCTTTTCATGTCTTCCACTCTCAGTGGCCAGGTCTCACAACCATACAGGAGGGCGGAGCGGACTGATGAGCAGTACACCCGCCCTTTGGTCGATAGTCGAACATCTCGTCTACGCCAGAGTCGGCGTAAACTGGCAAATGCGAAACGAGCCCCCTGTATTCGTGCTGAGATTTCGTCAGAGATCAGCCCGTTGGGGCTGATGGTACTTCCCAAATAAGTGAAGCGGTCAACGTGCTCTACCACTTCACTCCCTATTTCTAATCTAGGAGTCGGTGTAGTCCAGTCCTGTAACATCATCTTGCATTTGGCGGGAGCGAATCGCATGCCAAACATTCGTAGATTGCGGCTCAAGGTGTTTAGAAGACTCTGCATTTCGTCAGCGTCTTCGCCTAGAAGGACTATATCGTCTGCATATTCCAAGTCAATGAGATTATTCCCCGGTAGCAAGTCAATCCCTTTGGGTAGGATACTTGTTTCTTTGTAATGGTTCTAATAGTAGTTTTATGCATACAAACCCAATATAAAAGTATCTTCTTATATCCTTTTGTATTGAGATCCTAGTTGACACATGTGAAGCATTTAGGGATACATGAAAATAATTGATTTCTAGTACTGCAGTGATGACTTGGTAGGTATACAATTCAGTGGACAAAAGCAACTATTTTTATTTACAAAGAAGAAATCATTTCCATTTAGGGATTTTCACATAGGTGGAAAACACTACCAAACACCGAAAAATCCTATTAGATGCATAACATCAATCACTGTTCAACATAAGATCTTGAATTTTTAAAATGACTCTGGTGCAATGATACTTTCTCAAGAGACCAATATTTTGTGGACCGTCTTTTAAAATACGATGAATCATTGGATAATGGAGTAATTTCAAAAGTCTTTATTGCTATCCGCTTTCGAAATGATTCGTACACTATGGTTAGTTGAATATATATATATATATATATATATATATATATATATTCATACAGTGCTCACTTCGTCACTTTTCACTAAAGAAAAGTTATATAGTGGTAAATAAATAATTTTGATTTTTCCTTCACTTTCCCAGTGGAACATAGGGCCTCAAGCTAGTGGCTTGAAGTTCCTGTAGCAGTGTTTATTTTTACAGGATGGGGTTGCTAGCCTCATGCCCAACCTTTCCTCTTTACCAGCCTTATTTCTAGCTTAGCGAGGTAAAGCGCGTCGACCGGGAATCGAACCCCGGACCATTTGCATGGTCGGTGATCGTCCTAACCGCTCTACCACCGACGCGTATGGTGGTAAATGGAATTAATTTATTCCTTAGTTTTATGTGACTACTAAACAGATAGTGAGAGGTGTACAGCTAATCACGCATTGATTGTAAGGCGGGAAAAAACAAAACAAAGTTAACTTTGATGACTGTAAAATAAGAAAATGAAAAATAAAAGTGGTTACACAAAATAGTTTACAGACTAGCAAAGGAAAAGCTTCTTGAAATGCGAATTTATAATGAACCAAATGGAAACGTAGTACACACAAGGAACCTCAATCAAGATTACATAAGAATAACTGAATTATGAACTGTATTGGAGGTACTAGACAGCTGTTTCATCCTAGTTAAGAGCACTTCAGCACTCACTGGGGTTCAAGATCAGGACCTTCCGGCTACAAGGCGAGCTTGTAGACCAGTCAGTCACTGGGACCTGATTCATTGGACCACGAATTCCAACTTCTATCAATTCAAGATATACATATATATGTATATGTATAACGCAACAGCCAGTCAGTGTTACTAGAGGAATTATCCTCTTACCTGACCTGGTGGTCACAGCTTAGCTATAATATTCTAGTTTTTTTTGTTCTATCTCTACATCCCGATTTCGCTTAGTTGTCTTTCAGTAACACCTTCTTTGAGCATAACTTCAGAAAATCTGGCAATAAAAGTATATTAGAAATCAAAAGAACATAACGTGTTTCCGACACCCATCACAAATAAATAATACTATAGTTACACTTAAACACACCATGATAATAAAAAAGCACACAACGCCAGTAATCACCATCATATAAAACAGGTTCAATAACGTGCATACACAGAAGATGGTTGCCATGGCAAATAGTAAAAACTGTGTGTAGATATATGAAATGTAAGCGGGAGAGTTAATAAAACCAAACCCAGTAAAAACCCAACCAAAATCAAAGTGGAACTAAATGAAACCAACTTACACAAGGATAAACAATCACGAGGACGATTGCTTGACTATATATATAACATTAAATTAATATACAAAAATTATTTTGTGTAGAATAAATAGTTTGCAAAACATAAGAAGTCACCGGTTCTTATGAAAAATATTTGTATTTCATTTAATATTAGTTTTAAAATATATATATAGATTGCAAATTAAGATGTGGAATAACTCGATGAAATGTTTACATTAGTTTGATTAGATGGATTGTTATGAGGAGGGGGAGCGTATGATCCAGAACCATCTGTCCCAAGCGTGTTTGGTGTATTTACAGATTGTCTTGATAAACGTCGAACAACATTAATGTGTTCTGCATACTGTGTCATAGTGAGTCTAGCACATACATGTGAGAGTGGTGAATCATTTTGTAGAAAATTGTTTTCAACAGGAAAAGCCAATTGACTTGGAGGCCAACGTGGAGCATCAAATGTACCAGTTTCAACAGCTTGTAAAAACGATGGACTAAATATGTGTTCTGTTGAACTGTTAGCTGGAGGACATATATCTGGTAATACTTGAGTAATGAAAGCTTTCAAGATATCCCGGCACAAGTGTATCATACATGATGCTTGGAAAGAAACCTGCACACAAATATAATGATGGAACAAAATTGTAAGTAGGATTAGGAGTAAAAAAATGTGATTCAACTTCATTTCTTAACCACCTTAAAAAGGGCAAAAAATGCGAAAACTGTTTCCGAGATCCACTTAACATTTAAATACTAGGTCGACGAGATACCTCTCTGTCTGTTTTCGACATAGAACATTGCACATATGTGCGGCAGTTCAAGCCGCCACACTCCATGTAGCACATAAAGCAAGAGAAGAAAGTACAAGAAATGCATAATAGAGGTGCGAGACAAAGGAATAGTTTCATTGGAAATCATAAGTCACAAGGAGTGGATGCATCTGCGGCAGCCATTGAGAACGATCACTTTAAGCCATATCACCAATTGTTTCCAAACATTGGTTTTTACCGTCCCGAGGACCCCAAACCTGGAAGTCTACATTTTCCTACGTGGCTTAAACTAACTGTTGTGGATTTCATTGACTGGCGCCATGTTTTGGTTTGACCGCCACTAGCTCTTTTCCAGCCTGGCCCTATGTCAGCTAACATTGCCCGTCTGTCGAGGAAGGCGATGACTAGGCATACGTAACACATGTCCTAACCATCTCAGTCGACGTAATTCCAAGCCTCATCGATTGATTTGCCCTCACACCAACCTAGCACTTGACCGACGCCTAACTTCAATATTGCTCACCTTATTATACCACTTCATACGGGAGATAGAGCGCAGGCACCTATGATCAAGGACAGCTAATCTTTTCATGTCTTTCACTCTCAATGGCGACGTCTCACAGCCATAAAGGTTATTTATTATATTTATTTAAACGCATAAAAGCTTGGTACAATATGGCACCAAGAAGGATGCGCCACACAATAGTAATAAAACAACATAGATCAAAAGAAAAAAATAAAGAAGGGAAATATATATATATATAAGTAGAGAACGGATAAAGAACTTCGTCTGGAAGGAAAACAGTCATGCTTAACAAGTTCAAACAGTATTCGTTAACTATCATCGCGAAGAGAAGAAAGAAGGAAACTGCGACACGTGTAATAGCGAGCGATAAGTTTCATTGATTGTTTGTTGCTTTATTCAATTCACTGTGTGAGTACCGAGATACTGCTCGGGCGCCCAGACCGAAGCAGGTGGTTTTATTAAGGGACCACCCCCGAGCCTTTGACTTCGAGTCCAATCCGCAAGGCAGCGTCAGGAGCTGCATTCACATGGTTTCCGGTGACCCATATGGGTTCATACGCCATTTGATCCGATTGGATACTGCAGCCCATGTACCCCATAGTAACTGCTTTTAGTTTAACCGCTATCCAAACAACCTTCCTGACATGGTAGGACCTGCAGGCACAGAATCCCAGTCAGTTTAGCATGTTGGGTCATTATGGTATTCAAGCCCGACCACCACGACAAGGTAGCAGTTATCGGCCGGGACAGCCATAAAGGAGGACGGAGCGGACTGCTGAGCAGTACACCCGCCCTTTTGTCGATACCCGGATATCGAGTCTACGGCAGAGACGGTGTAAACTGGCATATGCGAAACTAACCCTCTGTATCTGTGCGGAGATTTCGTCAGAGATCAACGGGATATCTGATTGATTTTATGAGAAATTAATGACTAGAGAATGTATCTCCCGGATTTGCAATGACGAATCTCAAATGGTAAGGTCTAACACTTAGGCAGTTGGGAAAATGCGTTGACAGTGATAAAGGATGATTGCAGTGATACTGAGAGACTTAGCGGGATATAAAACCACAGACCCTGGAGTTAGCTACGATGCTAGACTGAATAAGGGGCCTAAAAACTAGGAAAAAACACAGACGTTTAGTGTAACCTGTTTTGATACAACTGTGCTTTATACTAATTGAAAAGCAGCAAAATTCTAGAAGCAGTCAGGAAAAAAGTAAACGGTAATTCTAAAATTACTCGCAAACATCAGGCTTCAAGATTGGTATGCCTTCAGTTTTGTCTGACGGTTTTTAAGTCCTGGGTAGAAATATTTCTCTAAAAAGCAGAAATGGGAACATCATTATCACTAGCTATAGATGCATCTATGATCAGTTAGGACCATATCGAATAGTAGGACAAACATAATTGCTGGACAATAAACATACATTTAGAGGAGCATCTTGCTACCACACGTTAGCAAGCGCTCAATGACCGCCTGAATCCATTGTGTTATAAGATCATAATTCACACTGGTAACTAATCCCATTAGCTTTTGCTTTGATTCCTCGATTTCATATCTGATATGTTGCAACTTTTTAACAATCCTATGGATCTCCTCTTACAGGGATAATTTTTGTAGACTTTCTATTCTGCTTCTAACTTTGACCGTCGCAACTGGAGCTTGTATTAATACGCCTGAACCCATGTTAAGATTTCCTCTGCATCCAGTCCCATTAATATTGATGCGACTTCTGGACTGAGCGAAATGGTTAACAAATCCAACCATTTGACTTTCTCCTGTAGAGCATCATCTCACGCTTAACAAGGACAAACTATATACAGATTTTCTTGTTATGTTTAAAAGATTTTGTTTTGTTAGAAACTTCGCTTAAAAGAACTTCATCTTCTGACCAGTCTGAATCAATGGGACCTTTCTCTTATGTTAAGTTAATTCTAAAGACATCAAAGCCAACCAGAATTACACTTTTCTACAGCATAAAATGTACAATGAAAAGAAAGATTTTAGACAATAAATCTGCATGCCTATAAAGAGATAAAAGAAACTAGAACAGAGAAGATTCAATGATCCTACCACAAGTCTAACTATAGCACAAACGTATTTGTACAATAATAGACTGAGAAAATGATTTACCAAGCACTAAGATGTATAGAATTACCTTAATATTTTGTTTCACATATAATACGGAATGGTTACAAGGCGCTAACACAGATGTTTCCACAGTACGCGGTACAAAAATATTTTGCCAGTAAATTCTCAAGGTATTTAAGTTTTTGCAAAACACTTTTCGAATAATAAATAACACTGTAGAGATAGGACTACTGACTGGTGAGCAATTCTGACAAACAGATTTCTAATAATTTATTGAAAATTTTCATGTATTGGGACCAAAAAAAGCTAACAGAAATGCGCATAAACTAGGAAAGAAAACTCACCTCAATTAAATATCCCTTAACTGCAGCACTTTGCCCCATGAACAATGTGACAAAATTAATACCGAAATCACCTAACTGATATTTTACTCCCTTAGCTTCAACTTGTAATTTCTTTTTGCGTTGATAAAAAGCCTTTAAATAACCTGGAAATTCACGAAATGATAAGTCAGCAACTAAAGCAGTTTGATTATCTGAGAACAGAAAACACGATGCTGGATATTCAGTTGATGTCAGTATTTGAAATGTTTTACATTGAGCTAAATGTAAGAGTCAACATGTTTAATGCAATAACGCCACATACACCTGGGAAGATTTGAAAAGTAAACTGCACTCTCAATATGCATTCGACCACATTTCCGTGCACCTAGTAATTTGTTGTGTAAAGCTTAAACATTATCTAAACAAACCAAGAAGTTCTAATTTCCTAATAAGATTCTCCAGTGTTTGTGGGTCAGTACTTCCTTCTGAAGAGTTGAGTAATAACACACTGAGGAATTACAATAACATAAGTATGCTGAACGAAACATACCATGAAACTCCTGACATTTTATAAGTCTAAAATATGAGGAAACAAAAAATGTCACAAAGAAATTAACAGTAAAAGACACCACAATTACAGCAAATAACTAAAAAGAATTTGAAAAAGGATTTACAAGCAGCCCTCTAAAGTATGACGTGAAACTAGCTCCTGTTCAGTTCCTGGAAATTGTGAGTCTCTTCAACCACCAGCATAACCTCCTATAAGATATTTGACTTTGTAAAACTGGAAACATTTATCTCTCGATACAAATTTAAAGCAAGCAACGTGTTGTTTCTCAAAGACTTTAAGGTTTTGAAACTGAACATCAGTCTCTAAATGACCAACCTGATTACGTCTGTCTCAGAATTTTAAAACGAGAGATAAAGCTTTAAGTTGTGTCTTCAGAAAAATTTCTCTGTAGTTCAGATATATATGCTGGAAGAGATTCAAATCGAAGCTATTTGCCCAGACAAGCGACCTAACTCCTTCATCCAAGTATGAGCTAGAAAGATTTAAAAGTACCCTAATTGATTCCTGCCCCTAGTTTAAGAACAACAAACATCCCGTCAACAGTCTACCTACAAAGAAACACCGAGAGGCATTATGTGACCTCAAGAATAACGAAAATATGATAATAACTAGACCTGATAGAGGATATGGTACAGTTATCATGAATGAGTGATTATTTAATAATAATAATAATAATAATAACAGCTTTATTCCAAAAACAGTACTCATGATACAGCAAGGAATTTTCAGCATTTCAGTACAATATTTAGACAAAATGAATCTCATTTTAAGTGGCCATACGAAATTTCAAAAACTGAGCAGCTGTAAATACACAACTGAAGCAACAGAACGCCAAATGGCTAAGACACTAAAATCACTAGTTGAGAGTAATCTGATTCCTAAGGATACACTCAACGAATTGAAACCCTCGAGTACGCAAAAACCAAGACTTTTATGGTTTACCGAAAGTCCACGAGCCCGGAGTACCCCTACTTCCTATCCTAGATATGTATCAATCTCTTCATCCTTCTACAGCAAAGTGGTTGGTACTCAACTTCTCAACTAAACCAGTACTCACACAGCAAGCCAAGGATAAATTACCGAAGATGGCCTCACCAATGTGTATCTATGAATACAACTGCTCATGTGGAGCTAGTTACATTGACAGTACTCAGAGGGCTTTGTCCATGTGCGCGCGTGAACATGTACCTGTATGGTTGAGTAAAGGGGTAACCGAATGCGTAAATAGTGAAGTCTTAGCCCACTTGGTAAATACTGGACACCCGATGAAACTTGACCAGCCGTTCTCAGTTATTTACCGCATTACTAGTAATCTATCTAGAGGAGTTCGACTACGTCTTCTATCAGTAGCTAAAGCGGTTGCAATTAATACCAGAAGACCAACTCTTTGCATACAGAAGAAGTATGTTCAAACCCTATGTTTACCTTGGCCTAAGATAAAGCCAACAAAACCTCCATAAGCATTAGCACTATAAATTCCTATCACAATTTTCTTTTCTTCTATTCCTTTGTTTCATTGACAAACGTTTATTTCCGACTTTTACGATTTTATGACCCTTCTTAAGATTTTATTACCTTAGGTTTCAGTAGTGCTTTTCTAACTTGTTATCGTATCTACAAAATCCTGTTCATTCCACTTCATTATATTCATTATTATTATTTGACAATCATTCATCAATAGTACTTGTAATTTTACACCATATCGTCGTTATTATTTTACAGTCATTCTTATTGTCGTTATTTGAAACCTTGAAATTATGTCTAATCCGCCCCATTCGTTGGTTTATTTTCATATTGTCTCACACCCGGATTACACTCTCGAAACCAGTATTTTTCTGTTGACTACACTTATATATCTGCACCCACACATTATTAAATTATTTCATCTCACTTTATCTCATGTCCTCACTGAACATGCATATTAAAAAACTAACTGATTATTGTTCCATCCCATCGTATACTTGTTCCACAATGCACCTTCTGATATGATTCTAATTTGTCTTTACTGGTGATTGTATGCTTAAATTAATGCATTTATAATTGTAGAGCCCGAAGAAATGTTATCAGCCCATGCATAGTCAGTTATAATTAAGTTCTAATCCACATTTGTACTGCTCTTTGAATCATGACGAATACAACAGACAAATGACCTAAAGTGCATAATGTACTGATGGACTTACGCGAAATGGTTTTTGACTGACCTCACTGCCACAGGAATATTAATATTGACTGAGAATGATTTAACTTCACGACAGTTCTACCCAACCGATTAACAATTGGTAAGAGAAAATAGACATATTCATTTGATTAACTCTGAATTTTCCAGTAGCATTTCTTAAAGCAGAAATGATAACAGAGTAGCTTTTCAAAAGCAGAGCGGTACAGCGATCATGTGTGTCCACAGAAACGTCTTGATGCATATCCAGCCAGTAGCTTAACCTTAAATAATCTGGGTGTAATACGAAACTACGTTTGAATTAACCCTTCATTTCGAGTTTTCATCTGGTAATTTCATTGATGACATATCGGTTAATAATCTACAATGATCCAATTATAAAAAAAGGTGGTTGCCAACTGTCTATTATTCAAATTCGAATAATATTATTAGTCCCTACTGTGTTACCACATCACTTGTTTTAAAATCGTGTCTGGGAATAAATTAGCAAGATTGTGTACATCAGAGAGTCACAAGGCCACGAATAAATTCATTCTTGTGTATAATTTACAAACGATCAACCTAATATAATATATGACTTACAGGGCCACAGAAACGACAATGTCCCGATGGACTTTTTAAAATGACCACATTCTGCTTTCGTTTGACTTTGGCTGTAGCACTCCTATTTGGATATACTTCCCGTTAAATGTTCAAAGTTCGTCAGTAGCTGTCTCACCTAATTTTCAACTTCAGAATGAAACATTATCTGATGGGCATTTCGTTAGAAAGGCCTCATAGTGTATGAACGTTTTAGTTACTGTGGCAGTTCACACACTTATGTATCAACTATCAACTAAATCACTGCACATACTTTGGCATAATAATCGCATGTGAGAGTAGTTGAAAGTATAGAAATGGATGCATGAATATAATATATAAAGCGCTGTCACTGATACGGCTTAAAACGAGATGATCCATTCATAAATCAACCATGATATAACACCTTTTCCGATCCAATGTGCAATTGCGTTTTTATGAGGTTGCATAAACCAGTTTGATTTCCTTCTGCTCGCTTCTCGGGTGTAAGGTATAGGTTCCTGGTTTTTGATGGACTTCCGCGTATTTTGTTCGGCCACTCACAATCTATGTTGACGCAAAAAGTAGCGGTTATTGGATCAATTATATGTGGGTTGTAGTGAGAGGTGAATTGGGACTATGTCCTAGCTGTGAATAGAGTTAGTCCCTTCACCCACTAGTCAACCGGTGTGGTCGAGAAGAGAGATAAAAGTAATTATAATAGTCATAATAAGTCCATATTATGTAGGCTCAGAAAGAAAGAATAAAGAAAGCATGAAAACAGATAGCTGATGTGATTTGAAATTCACATGTATGTATGTAAGAATATATATAACATTAATAACAGTATAAGGGACGCTATAATTGGAGTAATCAGCCAAGTAAGACAGTGGAAAATGTGAAGAAATAAAAGATGAGATTAGCTGTATACCCACTAATAGTGTGTGAGTTTTAAGTTGATAGGCCTTTTGGATGCTGTCCTTGTGTCACCTCATGATTTCTCAATCCCTGCTTAAAGCTGCATCTTTATGCAAAGAGTTCCAGGGACGGCAAACCCAGAGCAGAAAAATTGGAGCTTATCAGAATCTGTGCTCTCGGGTAAGCTATCCACCCTGGATTCCCACGGAAATGTTCATGACTACGCAATGGTAGAACACCTTTGCTTGGGTGATTTTGGCCATTTGTTATCTTATAGGCGATAATCAAGCCCTCACCCGAGCCGATTGTAGCTAAGTGTGAAGGGACTTAATTTCTTTAGTCATTCAACGTATGGTTTATTCTGGCGACCTACCACTTCTTTTGTCGCCCATACTTGGACTCTTTCAAAAAAGCTTGCATCTATTCTGAGCAGTGCGCTGCAGTAATATTGTGCACCTAAAGGTGTGGTAAGACGCATGTTTCGTGCAACTTTAGAACTCAGCAGTGAGTACATCTAACTGTCTGTGTTAGGTGTATGACCGCATATGCCTTCGCAATATCCTCAGTGAAATTTACGCTTGTGTCCATTTTTTGCGTTAGAACTAGGCATATGTCACGCTGTGACTTTTTGCAGAGCTGACTTTCATCACACAGGGTGTAACCCGTGTTCTGCAGCCTGCAGGTGTATATTTTCACTACTTAGCACTTTTACGGGTTGAAGATCATACCGCTGACTGTCATTCAGTCTTCAAAAAGCTTCAGGGCTGCCTGCAGCCCAACTGAGTTTTCCGAGTACTTCATTTCTCTCAAAATCTTTACGTCATCGGCGTAAAGAATAGTAGGGGGGCTTCGATGGCATGGTAAGTCGTACATATAAATAGCCCTAGGATAGACCCCTGTGGTACTCCTGATGGCAAGCTATGCCAGGATGATCGCACACGAAAAACCTCAATACAGAATTTCCTTTCACCTAAGCAGTTCTCAAACCATTATAGAACCGCCCAACCTTTACCTCAAACACCTAATTTGTTCGGAAAGTCATGATGGACTGTCAGATGCCTACTCGAAGTCTAGGAAGGTCATATGTGCTGCAAAATTCACACCCAGGCGTGATATCCAACTGTACCAGGCTGATACTAACTTTTTCAGGTGGGAACTACCTCTCCTGAAATCACGTTGTGCTTCATGGAGTCTTCTGATTCCATTGAGATGTGCCCTGATGTGATCAACGATCAGAGCTTCTAGTGCTTTTTATACCACTGAAAGCAGTGCTAACGGTATGCAACTCGTGGCATTTCGCCGATCTCCGCCCTTGAAAATCGGAAAAAGAATGACTATTTTCCACCCGTTTTGCAGTTTTCTTGAAAGTGTTTAGTATTGGAAGGGGCTACACAAGGGTCCTCAAAGATTCAGAACGGATGCCCAAACGTCATCACAGCCTGGAGACTTTCCAGATATGAGTTTCTCTAGCTTCTCTAATGCCACTGAAGGATTTGTTTGGAGCGTAGCCATCGGGTTTTCACCCTTTAAAATACTGGCGTAGTCTTTTTAACCTACACTGGCAAAACCCACATTGTTACTTAGCTGTGTGCCAAAGGTTATAGTAAATGATTCAGTCATTTCCAGATTTGCGAGATTTGGACCGTTTGAGCCTACTGAAGCACTGCTAAATATTGGAGTTCGTTAGGAGTTCCCTGGCGGGCTTCGCCTAAAATGACCTCCTGTCACGTTTGACTCCTGTTTTTCATCGTTCCCCGAGTTCTAGGTATTCCTAGTGTTCAGTCTGTCACTTGGAAAAGCTTCGTGTAGACCATGCCTTTCACCTTGCTTGCAGAATGCTCTGCATGCCTCTATCTGCTAACTAGTCATTCAGTGGAGCACATCAAGCGATATAGAGATATTAACTTCGCATTAACAAAAAAACCCAAGTATGTTTTGGGTGAATTACAAATACTTGGGAAAAATATAGAGCTTGAAGTCACTTCCTACATGTAACTTTGTTATGTGCGGCATCGTATCTTGTTCTCGATTTATATCCAAATCGACTTTTAATTTAAAATAACTGATCTACTTGCATAATTTTGTCAGTAATTTTATTATAAGTAACATCAGAAGTAAACTGTACCCAATTCACGCTAATAATAATAGCTTCTATTTTTTTTAAACGAGTGTAAGCCATTTTTACGGGTACGATCAGTTATGTTATGAATTACAATCGTGGAGCATTGTAAATTAGTACTTTTCATTGGTATAAAAGTATATTCCGCACCCTAATCCCGGATGCCTCATGCGGGAAGGTAAGGGGTAATTCAAGAGGCAGCTGTAGGATATGTGGGCAATAATGTATGCAGATCACTCGTCACTATAAGCGGTCAAAAATGTACACACTTTATCCCTATTCAAAAATGCATATAGAGGCTAATATTGTGAGAGAATAACGAAGACAAACGACAGCAGCACAGATGAAAGCAAGTGGAGTCATCAAGGAGTGATTGATAGCTATATGTACATAGATGTTTATACACATATAATGCCAGTATTCCTAACTGAAGAGGTAGAAAGACCACTCCCTGGGATTGCATTCAATCTTCATTGGCCGTCGCAAGCCGCAACTTGTGAGTCCCTATTGTGGGCCTAAAAGTCCTTGGAACACATGATGGCACATGATGAATGTACGACAGAAAAAGTTGCGCCTGAGTCAACTGACATCGCACACTTTTTCTTACCTATAAATCCTCCAGCTTTCAAAGAGATGATGCCGATTATGGTAAATTGGGGGTAGAGTTCATACTGGCATGGCCACCGACTGTGTTTTGCCTAGAAATCCCAGCAAGCTTATCAAACTGTCTGCAGTAGTAACATTCGTTTCTTGAAATAGACGTTGACTGTGGGCATTTTCCCCTTTTCCTATGAGCTTCTGTGCTTATTTTGTTGTCCTGTGCTGACATCCCACTGCGTTGACTTATGGGCACGTTGTTCATGGTTCTTCTAGACTTTCACTAATCGTACCCTGATTTCAGCCTCTTCAGTGGGTGATGGAGTGTGCAAGGAAAAATCCCCCCTGTAACTGAAGTTGACACCCCGCAAATATTCGTGAAGGACAGAGTTTTTAACATCTGGATACATCCTGTCCTGCATAGTTTGACGAGTAAGCTTTGTGGAGATGCAAGATGAACCGACTAATGGATTCACGTCGTATCTGGTTTCACTCTTCGAGTCTTTACAGAGAATCCATATGAGGTATTTGTTGCATTACACGTTCTCTCAGAGTACTCAGGAGGATAAACAAGGCCATATGAGCACCAACCAAACCATTTAATTGGTGGATGGCGACTAGCATTGAAATCCAGGATGCGCATTTCGTCCTATTTAGGACTCGTTACCTGGATATACCTTCACTTCTCAGTACCTGATGATGTTCCCAACGAGACTCGAACCCAGTACCCATATTTCCAAACGCCAAAGCGTTATCCACCGGACCACTTGGGCCATGAGAGCAACCTCTTGCGCAACGGGTCATATTAATTTGAATAAATTTGTAATTTTCCCGTCGATTGTTTAGACAGAAGTGCTCGGTCTCAGATTGACATGTCGGCTTCTTGTGCAGATGCTTTGACAATGTCCAATCAATCGACGGAATATCTCAAATTTAATAGTATTAATATTGTAACAACAGAAGACAAGGGCTAAGCGACAGATCGTTTATTAAGGAAATCAACACGTATTTATATATATTTCATGTACATTATTATAGCTTTTTCAAGCAGACAAACGCAGTCTTCTGATTGGTTGTTTCTCACAGGAAGTTAACCTTGCATCTCTTTGTGACTGTTTCCTGAATGTCAGGTCATCTATATATTAACTGCATCTGTCTACGTCAAGTCTGTTGTGATTGATTGTTGAATCAGTCTTGTTCATATTTTCTCACCACCAATATTCGCGGCATACCCATTCACGTAAAGTGCTGTCTTCCATTTTTGGCTAACCTGCTCTCACCACAATATGAATCTTTGCACAAGAGGTGGGCCAAGTGGTCTGGTGGATAACGCTTTGGCGTTTGGAAATATGGGTACTGGGTTCGAGTCTCGTTGGGAGCATCATCAGGTACTGAGAAGTGAAGGTATATCCAGGTAACGAGTCCTAAATAGGACGAAATGCGCATCCTGGATTCCAATGCTAGTCTCAATCCACCAATTAAATACTAACAAAATGACCAGACATCTTCGAAGCATCCAATCGTCCAAACAATCGACTGCAAAATCTCATATTTTATAACAAAGACACAATCCAAACACATGTTTGCATTTCCAGAGACCGTTAAACACAGTCGACTTCGAATGCATTTTGGTGAAGCATATTCATCAGGTCTACGCATTGACGCACCTTGTCCAAACACACGTCGAAGTCATCACCGACTTCCAGTTTATGTGGCAAAGGATGGACATAACGCGATGCAGGCCGACTTAAAGGCCAAGAATATGACTTCAGCTGCTGTCTGTGTTGATCGGAGCAGTGCAGTGAGATGGGACTTAGAAGAAGAAAGTTTTTCGTTATTAGGTCTGTCATTTATTTGATCCCAATAGTCAACCAATGATCTGAAACATAGAGCAAAGCGCACGTTTGCAGGGTGACCACATAAGTGCCACGTGCTATTAAGAACGAAGACTCAATATCAAGGATTTGATTTGCGGGGAAGGACTTTCCTACTGGTCATCTGCTGCACCACCTTGTGCGATCAATCCTTGCAAGCTACGTAGTCAACCTGAAATTAGACAAGAATAGTTGGGGCGTTAGAAAATCATCGAACTTACCATACCTTACACTGGTGACACCGGATATTTAAAAAAATTATTTCATTATTATGTTATTTTGTTATCTTATTTATAATGTAAACTTAACTATCAGTATCACTTTGTGCTGTTGTTGTACATTTAATTCAGTTTTACAATTTATCATAATAATATTATTTGATCGCTATGTGACAATGGTTATTTTCATTTTTACTCCTACTGTTATGCACATCCTCCTTGTATACTCAACGTTGCCTAGATGACATAAAAACTAAAATGAATTTATCCATTTTATTGTAATTACGATCACATTGGTTTTTATCTATCGATTCACATATCTTATCCTATTATTTTTTACCAAATTAATACAAATGCCTACGACTAATATTTCGTTCTGTAGATGTAAACCTGATGAGGGGTTACGGAAAATACATATTTACTTAATTCTTGTTCTCTAATTATCATTATGGGAATTTTTAACTGAGCTCATTGTTGGAAATAGTACAAATTAGCCAGGTTTCAGTGAAAATTATTATTTTGAGGTGCAGGTGTAACTGGAGATTCTTAAGTTCTGCTACTTTTCCTGGCGGTCCTCTCACCTCACTAAACAGTTAGATGGTAGTGAGGTTTACCACCTCACTCTGTTGAAGCTGCACAGGTTGCCGGTAGAGGATATGTCATTGGGAAAGTTTGGTCTGTCCAGACGTAACCGCCCGGCTGCTTTATTTTATTTGGATTAGGTTAGGAAACTTGAGTAATACTGTTTCTCCTCCTCAGAATTACACGGCTGTCGTATTACTGAGGCACTGTACTGAAGTGCAAAGTCAGCTTGCTGCATTCTTAGGGTCCGAGGTCAGCCTCCCGGGAGGCAGATATGTCCTCCAATTTACTCTTGGTCTCATTCCATCGCTGAAGTAGCAGGGCCAACTGCTACTGAGAGCTAAATCTGACAGTGAGTAAACCTGGGAAACTAATCAATGTAAGATGAGCTGGACGAGTTAATCGACAAATAGATACTGCCTCAGAAGCACCGAGGACCAGTCTGTATTACCTCTACGAATTTCGATTAAGTATTTTACGTAGCGCCTCAAATTGGGTATCTAATTAAAACGAAGAATCTTCGAAATACTATCGGTTCCTTTACTTGGAACAGACAATCAGATGTAATCAAGGGACACAGGAAAAGGATCAATTTCAAAGTTCGCATTGATTTTACGAAGCATATTGGGAGCATGGTGCGGCATCCGACTCCACACGGTTTCTTCCAGGCTCCCTAAATCTATTGCTAGTTTGAATACCAAGAAAATGAAAGTTTTAACAAAGGTCCAGTTGGATAGTGATGTCGGTATTTTCTAAGTGAGCTGTTAAACGGATTAGGTGCGCTACTACAAGTACTCGTTTACAAGCAATTACAATGATCTTCATAGGGGTAACCACCGTTAGCAATCTCGCTAAACACTTCCCTGGAAACTGTCGGATCATTGATTCTTATCACACCGTGGAGAAATATTTGTGGACACAGGCCTTTCTTTCCAATTACATGAGGAAGACTCACAGAACACAATAAAATTGTAGAGATTGAAAGGGAGGACCTAATGACCTTAAGGTACACGTTATGATTTAGAGTCATAAATCTGTGTCTTCTCTAGACCTATTTAGAAGGGAGAATAAAAAGTGAAAATGCCTAATATAAGCCTCGCATACTAAATGGGATACACGAATCCTAATTCTAAATCAATGAGTACACTCAAGGTCGAAATATAAGTAAATGACCTTGGTTGGGTCACTGCAATTTTGACCTTCATTTTGAAGATGACGTTGTACTCGATTATTCTACCTACGTATAATGAGAGGGAAAACCTGCCAATCATCATGTGGATCATTGATAAAGTCATGAACGAGAAGTATGTGCTCTGTTATCAATTTCTACATGCACGAACTCTGTCAAACTGAAAACATTAATCTATATTTAGATTTATAAATTTATATAAATTTACCTTTTTAACAATTATTGCATGTCTCAAAATAAAACATGGTTTAGCACGTCTTGGTAATACGAAAAGAAAAATACTGATGTTTCTTATCTTAAAATTACTTGTATATTGATCATTTTTTTTCAATCCCCCAGTTTTTTTTATTTACGCCCCCAAACTATTCCAGAAGCCACCACCATCCAGTTATTCGTTTGATAATGTCTCATTCCTGTTTGAGAAAGCTCTCTTGAGTGTAAGAAAGTGGGACAAGACATGAAATCCATTCATTTTGTAAACTTAACCCAGTAAGGGAAATAGGATGTCTTCTGATATACACAGGATATTTGGGAAGGTTGAGGAATTTTTTAGGGGTGAAGATGGAGTAAATAGGATAGAATGCGTTGTTGCAGCATTGTATTCTGTCCTCACGTTTGGTCCACGTCTGAACCTTCTGGAATTTCCCAATCGTCCCGCGCTTCACCCAGGTTTCCTGTGTTCATTTTCCAAATGGAAAGTGTTGAGAACATTTATCAAGGCTGGTAATTCTTGATACTAAAGTTTTCCACGTTTATCTGATGCAACTGCTTTCTAATTAATCGTTTCAAATTTATTTGAGTTGATGAATGCCAACGGCTTTCGGTCTTTTCCACGTGTTTGATTTGTGCGTGCTAAATGGTACTTTCCGCACCTAAAAGCTGCCCTAAAACATTGTCTTACATAGGAAAATTTCCATTGCCATTTGGCCTAATGTATGCATAAAGACTAGTTTCAGGTGGGGGAGTCACATGTATTTAGCAGTTCTATACTCAGTATATGTAGTTAACACATTCATTTCCATTTGTACTTGATATGAATATTTGCTATGTGATACCACTGCAGATATGGTTTTGATGTCGGTGAAGTTATCTGTTTTGTACTCGGGAGTTCTTCCGAATATTTTACAAGGATAGTGGGTAGAATCAATTGTGTACCTATTGAAATTCTGAATATGTATAAATTTTCACTCATGACTAAATCTATCAAATATCTAGACTTACGAACAATTTTTCTGTTGTATTCATTATGTAAAAGTAACATTTTTCAACACGATCACTGACTTCAGTGTTTAATTTTTGATTACGCATTAGTATAATACACAAAAGACAATTTAAAAGTAAAATAATGCCTTGAAGCACAAAATGCTAATGTTTGTCTCCAGCCACTCAGTAGACTGTGAATCAGGAAAAAATGTCAGTAATCTTAAGTGAAGTAAAATTAGTTAACCTGTTGTTCACGGCTTTATATAATTTCTTTAGGCCTAACTAGTGGTCGTTTCAGAAGAACATCACTATTGACAATTCAAGTGAATACAAATACTTGACACAAACAAAAATCCTAGTTTAAAAAAATAGTGCAGACTATATGAAAAATGTGTATATAATCGCTGCATATTCTCAGTGAGGATACAATTACTCTACATGCTTTGAGCCATTTGGTTCTGCGGAAACATGTTAGTATTAATTGTCGTTTGTATGAAGAATGCCAACTCTAGTTTCAAGTACAATGATGTATCATGTGGATAAATTATATTATAAAGGAAAAGTGATACAAGCGGCCAGAAGACAAATACATAGAGGATGTTAAAATGCTGGAAGTGGAGACGAAATAGACTTTCAGCACTTCACCCTTCGTGATTATTTCATGGAGTTCGTACTGTTTATTTACTTTATTTTAAGACTATGCGCTATTCTGTTTATGTCAACTTATTTCCTCCTCTTAAGTTTCTGTGCTTGTTATTTTGAAGGATATGTCGGTTTTGCTTCTAGCGTAACTATGACGGCTTTTATCTTACTCTGCTGATTCCAAAATACAGTCGCCGGTACTTTTAATGGGACTTATTCCTTCGTACTACTGACCAATATTCCTCTATTATGCCTAGTGTTTCTGATTATATTTAACTGGTTTTACTAATACACAAGTTCTTTAATATTTGCTTGCAGCAATCTTTCCTATGAAGTGATAATTGTAGACGACAACAGTCCGGATGGAACAGGTGAAGTGGCTAAGAAGCTTCAGTCTATCTTCGGAGAAAATAAAATAGTATGTGTAATTTTCTTAATTTGGCTTCGTTTAGAATTTAAAACCAAGGAGTGGAAAATTGGGACTTGGTAGGTTTTCATTTGTCAGTATTCAGAAAATTTTTATTTAGGCTCAGCTTACTTGCATGGTCTAAAGTTTGCAAAAGGTGATTTTATTGTAATCATGGACGCTGATTTATCTCATCATGTAAGTCCAAACTGAATGTCTACCTAAGTAATATATTCTCCACGCAAATAAATGTGTCTACGAGAAAATATTGGCCAAGGTATTGCCATTTATCATTCTAATATCAGTACTTCATGCATCATATAAGAGGCAAAGTTGTATTTTAGTTGACCTTTAGTTTTAGTAGATAACGTTACTGTCCTAACCTATGTTTATTTCAGTATGATTTTCAGTTTTACGGGTCCAGCGAGAGACATCTACTTCACTGTAGCTTACTTTCTATACGTTTTTTCAGTTGGAAAGGTTATAGACACTACACATAAAATAAATATGTACGCAGTTAGTGTCTGCTTTCCAGAATGGAAATTACCACGAATAGCAAGGCAGACATACAGTTGTAACTGGTAACCGTAAATAAAGTACAGTTTTATTTCAATAGTTTACACACAATAAGTTTTGTTCTTGGTAATATTTCAAGCAAAATTACTGCCCCTGTTCACACCACTGTTGGAAAACGGTTTAATGTCAGTAAAAAGTTTGAGCATTGTGAAATAGATCAAATATACAAAACAATTCCAACATTGATATAAACAGGGGCAGTAATTTTGCTCGAAATATTACCAATAACAAAACTTATCATTGTGTGTAAATTATTGAAATATAATTATACTTTATTTGATCTATTCCACAATGCTCAAACTTTTTACTGACATTAATGATAATTGTAAGCTGTGATTAGCTAAGCATCATACTGTTCACTTGTCAGCAAGTTTTCAACGAAAACAAACAAAAAAACTATAAGACTCAGGTTTCGAAGTCGTATACTTTACTTCGGCTATCTCCTACGGGAGGATGAGCCGGCTTCATGAACATCTCGAATCACCGCTGCCCAGGCATGGCGATCTGATGCAAGGTTTTGCAACAGGGTTATCCAATGCTTGTTCCACAAACAGAGTCCGTAGACGATTTGTAGCCCCAGCCCAGGCACTCCATATCAGCCTTGACTGTACCTAGCCATGTTTTCAGCTGTCCACCCCTGCAATATCGCCAAGATGGAAATGGCGAGGGATTTAGAACTGATTTGATCAGATCGTCATCTGGTCGGCGCAGAACATGACCAAACCACCGAAGGCAACGTTGTTGGACCAGTACTGGAATTTGGTTGATGTTGTAGAGAGTTCATGAAGTTTCATGGGAATTAGATACGAGTGATGCCCCCAGCATCGCTCGGCCTTTTGTTTGAGAGTGCAGCTCTAGCCTTTACACAACCAAATGTGACCTACAAGGCAGTAGGAGTGAAGTAGGGAGTCCACTATCCATTGGCAGTCGGTGACCGGAGTCCGGTTCATACACCTTTTTGAATGGGGCCAGACATCTAGGGCATCCAATAAGCCCTTTGTCCATACGTCTGCCGGTGAGTTCCGGTGAGGTTCATACGCCAGTCGTTGGAGGTTTGGAATCAGGGTTTAGCCATCTCCCCTAGACTGTCATCCAATGGACAGTCAACTCGGTGAAGAGCGCCGGGCATCCGCTTTTGCCCTCTCACTTCGGTGGAAAACACCTCCGCCACGTGAAGGTAGTGAGTTGGACTTCCTCTGGAGAGGCTATGTAAGACGCCCGGTCATATGAGAGCATTTCAAGAGGTGTACGGAGGGGTGGCCAACCGGCAGCGCAAGGCACCCACCCCGACCATCCTGAGGTTTTGGAGGCTTCGAAGTTGTATGATCATAATTGATATATATATATATATATATATATATATATATAAAATTTAAATATGATTATGAACAATAAATTTTGTTCGAAACGTCATCCAGTAAATAATACTGTTTCATTGTGTGATACATCTAATAAACAAACTAGTGTGGAATTACTTACTACCACAATGCCCAAGTTTTACACATATATTAATATGACATTTGTAAAAAATTATATTTGTAAAATCTCAGCGATATGGAAATGAGTAATTCCAACGTTTCGTTCGGCAATTTGGTCCGAACTTCTTCAGGGAAATTAATCGAAATTAACATTACAGGTTTGTATATAAAAGGAACATCTTTTGTTTTTAAAAACTTTGTCCAATCATGATTTATAAAACAAATATTAACAAGTATAATAAACAAAATTGTACGTTGGAATTACTCATTTCAATATTGCTGAGATTTTACAAATATAATTTTTTACAAATGTCTACTTCTCACTCGGCGCCCAAATATTATAGAACTATTCTGTCAAATCTTGACTACAGTTCATTTGATATATATTAATATGGTTTACATATCTCTTAGTAGTTTTCTCTATGCTGATATGTTTCACTTTATTATTAGGAAGATAGAAATTTAAATATTACATGATGATGTGTGGAGAATATTCTAGAAAACAAGTCACTCAGTAGTCACTGCGTTTCTAACCACAGAAGTAGATATAAAGCATAACCACTGTGTTTATATTTCTTTTGGGCCACATTATTTTTCTCTAAATATTACGCATATGCAAAAAAGAAATCATACTTTGGAATCCGAAGGAAACTATACCTGAGTTTTTACACCTTACTTTTGGCTAGTTTTAGTAACGTGTCTACATTCAAGATATCTGAAATTGACAACTTAACTAGACTGTATAAATAGAGTAAAATACTTGCTCAATTATAAACGTAGTGTGTCTTTTTTCGAAAACGCCTCTTATTTAATTCTTCGTAATTTTTTCTGTTGCAGCCAAAGTTTATTCCTGAATTCATCAAGTACGTATCATATGAACCAATTAAATTAGGTAAACTTAAGATTACAGAAGCAGCATGACTATGATATTGTTACTGGTACTCGATATTCATGCAACGGAGGTGTAAGTGGTTGGGATCTTAGGCGTAAGCTGATCAGGTTAGTTTCCCTGCATCACTTGATAATTATTTCAGGCTAGAATTTTGAGCAACTTTTAAATTAATATAACACTAACTACTTAGAAACTTTTCCTAGTGTAATCTTCTGTTAGAATTTTTTGAAGCTTTATCATATATGCGTTTATTTCTACTGACAAAATGAACTCAGCGAATTTCATCATTTACGGAGCTGTTAAGTTACATTCTCTGAGTATACTTATTATATATATATTCTGTACCTGAGCTAAAGGCACATGTTTGCGTTTATCGATTGTGTCAAAGTTGAAGAATTGGTTAAGGGATATCGAGTATGAGAACTTTAGGATTTAGTTACCAGAAAGGAAAGTTATTACATCGGATGTAGAGTATGCGTTTTTATTTAGAGAAGGTAGACAATTTATTGTCAAATAACCACATCAAGTCATTTAATTCTAATGCAATACTTATGCACGAGAGTATTACCATTTTAGAATCGTATGCTACTGTCGGTTCTTTTCAGTTGTTTCCTTGTGAAAATTTAATTGATTTCTAGCTTGATCGTGACCTGACTTCAGCTAGAAAACTAATGAGAACCATGGAGTACTAAACAGTTGTTTCGATCTGGTTTAGGACTTCAGCAGTACACATCCATTAAGGATCGGACCCAGGAACATTGGGGTCCGCCAAGTCGAGTGTGAAAACAAATACTCACCGATGACATTCTCTGGTAGTGTTTCTATGTATCATCAATTAGTAAAAGTTTGAATCCCTCCCCAGCGGCCTAATGGTCAACCGGCCCTTTAATGTGTGAGTCGTATGCCCGATCTCTGGTAGTATCACGGTGGTTTAATGCTAAAATCTCCCAAACTATGACGAAAGAACTGCCTAGTACTACCTGGTTTTCAGTGGTTCTCCGACAAATATCTGTTAGTGATCTAACTAAATGTCAAAAAAATCTGTGCAGGTCGGCACTTGGAAATTAATCGAATGCTCACTAGTAACTGACTGCGAGAGAAAGTTGCCTCGAGTTTTGGTGAGAAATGACCATTAGGGTTTACCAAGTGGGTTGTGAAAAAATACTAGCTGATATATATATATATATATATATATATATATATATATATATATATATATATATATATATAAATCGAAGGCACGTTAGAATGCTCATCAAGCATGCACGTGTTCTGGGTCCAAGTGCCTAGTTTACTAGCCGGTCGTAAGCTTGGAAAAAAGAAAGGATGGGCATCAGGCTAGCAACCAAGTCCAGTAAAATACCAACACTGGTATTGGAGCTTCAAAGCTTGAAACCGTATTTCACTCGAGAGGCTAGGAATGAAAAAAGTGACTCATCTATTAACAGAATGAGAAATTCGCTTCACTCAGCGGTAATAAAATCACAGTCATATATTTGATGTTTTCCCGAATAGAATCCTCAACTTAGATATTTACCATGATTCTAATCATTCATGTTTAATAAAAACTCTAACGCCATGTTTGTTCACACTCCTCTATGCTAACTAAGAGAATGCGTTGATTGGAACAAAAAACAAATACATGTCATTAGTACTGCTACTCACTACTCAAAGAGTGCTGCATTTCATCATAATGGTAATTTCATCTGATAAAAACACAGTGATACTGCATTATTTATTGATGACGCCTTCAATACAATATATATTACCCACAATGGCACCAATAACTGTGAGGCCTACTACATTGGTCTCTCCAGTGTATCGGGCCATTCATGTTATCGGAACATAGAAATTTCCAAGTGTTGTTTCGCAGAGATTTGATTGGTTACAGGCTTGATCATCAGCTGATATCAGTTAGAGAACCATTTGAAAATCAGTGGGGATTGGACAGCTGCCTCGTCTTTTTTCGGGAATCTTCAGTAGTTCGCACCCACTGGCTAAGAATCCAGGACTTCTGGCTGCAAGGCGGGCTGATAGACCATTCACCCACTGGGACCCGATCTAATGACCCCTGAATTCCAACTTCTGCCTATTCACAATATATATAGCGCAATTATCTGCCAATGTCAGTGGCGAGTATCTGTCTTCTTGTCAGACTCAATGGAACCCGATGGTTACGACTCCACTTCATTTCAGATTTCACCGTCAGATTTCCGATCTAACTAACACATTGTTCTCCTTAATTTTTAGTCGCACAGCGAATTATATAGCTCAAGTGCTCCTTCGGCCAAAAGCATCTGATTTGACGGGAAGTTTCAGGTAAATAATAGTAACTTTTGAAATCATTCTTATTTTTATTCTGGGAAAATGAAATGAAAAATAAATATCTCATAACCCTCAAAAGTTTGCAGCAAGTTTACTTCTTGCAGCTTGTACTTCCCTTTCACGTGGTCATTCGGCTCGTAACTGTGACAACTACGCACGTGTTTCGGGATTCGATTCCCTACTGACACACCCCTCAACATTGGTTATGCAGTAGTAAGCCTTATGAAGAGAGGAGGTCAGGTGTGAGGCTAGCAATCCAACTCTGTAAGAAAACACCTCTGCTACTGAGAATTCACAGCTAAAGGTTTGAAGTCCAATGTTCCACTCGAAGAGCAAAAGAATAAAATAAATACAATCAATACCTGCGACAGTAATATTCTTTCTGCTAGAAAATATTGAAATACAGAAAGGTATTCAACAAATTTGTACTTCGTGAAATTGCATATTGGTGAAAGTTGCTACTATTTATGTCAGTATAACATTGGAAAAACGAGAAAATCAAATACTGGCATTTATTTCATTTGTATTGTTGTTATGGTGATATTTAAGCTAATAAATTCAGCGTTTTTCTGTCGTTGTGATTTATGGCAAGACTAACTCAGTTTGCATGTTTGTCCGACATTTCAGTATAGACTCTTAGAAAAAAGTTATTGATTGTCCTGTCTGAACTAGCAGTTTGCATTGGTAGTCAGTTGACTTTGCTTCTTTTATTTATAGACACTTGTCAGTAGTTTTGTAACAGTTTCATGTAGTTTCATCTGACATATTTTGCCCGCCCTATAATGAAAAACTTATTAACTGAACGAACTGACTTCAGTTAGAGGACCACTAAAAACTGAAGAGTGCCGGACAGCTGTTTCATCCTAGTTTGAGATTCTTCAGCACTATGCACCCATAACTCCTCCAGAGATCGAACCTAGGACCTTCAAGTGACAGATTAAACTCGTTGACCATTCTTCAGCCACTGGGACGGAATACAATGACCCATCGATTCTAACTCCTGCCAATTCGTGATATATATAGCATTACTGCTGCTCTTCAGCAATACGCATCCATGACCACTCCAGGGATGATGATCCTTTCACTGAAGTCATTTCGTGATCAAACTTGAAGTCAATAAAATCCCTTTAAACCAACATTTGAAAATAAACGTTTTTTCAATATTCTTAAACGAAACAACAACGTTAATTCCTTGAAATCGGTTTTCTTTCTGAGGTATAAAATAGTTTTCTAGGCAATCATAAAGTGAACTGTCAAAGTCAAAGTTAGTCTCTTGCATATTAGTAATTCGGTTTCTGACTGGCATTTATAGTAATGCCTCATTTTATAAAACCCGGAATATAAAATCACCCATTGATCATATTAACACTAACTGACTGAAAAGGTTGAGTGATTACCCGAAACTCTTGATTGCTTTTTTTTTACTCCTGTGAAGTTAGCTCTCGTACTGAACATAGATATTTCAGTCATCTCAGCAGTTTGTACCCAGTTTGACTCAGCTTAGAGAACCGAGGCATTTCAAAATGTTGTTATACTCGCCTTCAAACGAGAGAAATTGGCGTCGTGTGTTAAAATCACTTTTATCTGGCTAACAAGCACTCCTATTTGATGTAGATAGGAGTATACAACTACTCATCCCAGTTAATCAGTAGCACATACTTTTGTGCATTTTCACTTGATTGCCATTTGTGGTATCAAACAAATCGCCTATTAAATCTAAATGACCTCGGTCTCCAAAGGAAACTGAGGGTAATAATCAACAGGAACTGTGTAAATCGCGAATCACTTTTCAAATTGCAAATTTGATTCATTGTGAAATAGTTTTCCATATACTTCCCACGAGTGGTTAGTTTAAAATGGAAGAGTATAAAGAAGCAGGAAAAACACAGTGTCCCTAATATACAGAAGTCAGAATAATAAAATTTCGATAAAAAGTGCAAATATTTTCATGAAACCAAGGAAGGGAAGCTTTATGAGATAAAATCACCCAAATGTAATGTGCTTTTTCTAGTTATGGAAAGAAAAACACAACCAAACAAAATATCAAGTCAGTGGCGATAATGTTTAACCATAATAATGAAAATTACTAGTTAATTGAAAAGTAGTTGGAGGTCAATGTCAAATTAGGTGGTTTATCTAGAAAGTAACACGTAAATTAAATTCTAAATTTTAGAATGATAAAATGTAAGTAAGAGCTAGTAATTAATTACAAAAGTAGTGATAAATTCACAACAGTCTATTTCTTGAGTACATACTTCAGGCTTAATTCTTCGGATAACAATTACTTCAACAATTCAAAGTAGCCGTCAATTATTTTACCTGTTCATTATTGTGCAGCACCTGAATATGTCGAGCCATTGCCTCGTGTAAGTTAGGCGATGGAACACTCGTGAATGAAGCTTAATTTCTGAGGTGTGTTACACAATTCTAGAGGATAACCACTTCTCCTTTCTACTTATGTAACTACCTGTGGAAGTGTATGTGAACTAATAGACTGTCGGTCGTGGTTAAATCTAGATGAAACTAGTCTTGTATTAAACGTCCCAACTAGAGCAGTAGATAACTCATAACATTCGAATATTTGTTCTTTATTCATTTTAATACAAATTCTAAGCATAATGAGCACCAAAAATGCACCACACAACATAATATCAATATAAAGAGAAAAGAAGAAGATAGTTAAATAATAATATTAGAACGTACAGATAATTATTCTTATTTTAAATACATTCAGTAAAGTGTTCAACACCGTTTATTGATCCTGATAGCAGAAGAAATGAGAAAACCATAATATATGATTAACATTTTCTTTTCAATTCTCAAATATGCTTGTGGAAGTCTACTGGCCCACTGAATCGTGTCCATATGTGGACATAATAGATGGCAAGCTTAAACTGTACGAATGCTATAAGAATAGGATTGTGGTCATTACCTAACCGGTGCATAAATTTATTGGGACTTTTGTGTACTGTCTCAATGAGATATAAACAGACAAGGGCGCATACATGATTGAAGTAAAGATTAAAAATGTTGATGAAATACCACAGTAAACACAGGAAAATAAAACCGATTGGTTAGGCTGTATGATTAGTTTAAAAACCGTTCCAATTGTTAACTTTCAAAAAGGCTCTTTTTTCAAGGATGTAATCATTGCTGACAGTGTCCCGTTCTAAATTTCTTAGACCTAATCAGACCAGTAAAATAACATGATCATAAATTAATCTTGTTTGGCGCTTTAGAGAACATAAAGTTTAATTAAATCCTTCGTAGTAGTAGCAGTAGATCTGCCTGTCAACTATATCACATCTGTTTATAGAGGTTGTTTAGAATGGCATTTATAAGAAAGTTGTCCATTTAAGCTTTCACAGTCCCCGTACACCAATAATTTTGAGGCATTCAATATCTCCATCATTCATATTACCTAAAAGAGTCTGCTGAGTAATATATATGCAAAACTTGGACACAGTGTTAGTATGCAATTCGATATAACACACAGTGAAAACCGTATTGTGTATTGGATGGCATTACGGATACAATTTATTGTTCATAATCATATCAAATAGAACTAATTGACTTCAAAACTTGAGTTTTATGGTCCTCTTTTCCAATTGTCGTGAAAAAATTAGGATTTTATAGATGTCCACAGGACAGGCGTTAAATCATTCCTATTACGCGTGCCTCAGTTGACTCATTAACTAAGGATTCTACTGATAATCTCTTCCACCACCCTTTCATACCAGATTTTAAAACTGTCATTTTATTCCATCCTATTGTACGAATGTGTTTTACGTGCATGTAGTGCTATAGATGAGCTGTTTTCTGGATTTCTTATCTTAGTAGGGTCAACTCATCTAGATTTTATTAGGTTTTTGGACTCGGTCACCTGTTACACCTTGCCTTTCTAAGATCAGGATGTATGGAGATTTTATGCGTTCAACATCAGTGGTAGACACACTGAAGTTTATTTATCTTTTTCTTCTACTTTAGAAGATAACACCTTTTTCAATGTACTTGATAAGTATGTTTACCTGTTTTGTATTTTTTAGTTCCCCAGTTTTTCTTTATTTCACTTTTTTCATTTCTGACTCATTATTTTGCGTGGAACATCTTTTGGTGCTTATACTGTACTGAGTGTTTGTATTTGATTAAATAAACAAACATTTGTCTTTAATGTAACTACTGACTGTTTTTATATAATGTAAACACTTTTAGATTATACAAAAAAGAAGTACTGAAAGACTTAGTGTCACAGTGTACTTCACGTGGATATGTCTTTCAAATGGAAATGATAGTGTTAGCTTCTTCTCTGGGCTACAAAATTGGTGAGGTATGTCATCTTATTTTTCTTGTGCGTTGAAGTTTCTGTAGCAGTTTGATTAATTTTCCGGAGTAGGCTCACTAGCCCCATACTCAACCCTCCCTCATTTTCCGGACTTGGGAACAGGCTAGAAAAATTGGCGAGGTCAGACATTTGGCGCATCACAAAAGCATTTTAACAGGTCACTGACTTTTATCAATTGTCGTCTTCAATCTATATTGAAGATCGAGTGGACAGAAAGAATTAGCAAGAACCTAACAGTGTCGGTCAAAAATTTGACCAAAAAATTATAACTGTATTTCAATAGCTTACACGCAATGATAAGTTTTTGTTTTTTGGTAATATTTTCAGCAAAATTACTGCCTATGATCACACCAACTCTTGGAATTGTTTTGTTTTTAATTCACAAATTTATGATTTGTACTCTAACTGGAATATAATTCTGAATACACAAAAATGCATAAACAAAAAAAGAACTATGTATGTGAGTACAAATCATTATTGTGTGAATTAAAAACAAAACAATTTCAACAGTTGGCGTGATCACAGGTAGTAATTTTGCTCGAAATATATGAACAACAAAACCTATCATTATGTGTAAACTATTGAAATATAATTATAACTTTCAAGAGCCTATTGTTCAACAAATATGTAGGAGAAAATGGGGATGGACAGGGCATGCTCTGAAGAGACCGTCGAATCACATCGCCTGCCAGGCCCTCGAGTGGAAACTGAGTGGGAAACGGCGAATGGGTCGTCCTAGAGTGACATGGAGGAGATGTGAGATTTTGGGCACTCGTGGGCCAAGATGAAGAGGAGAGCAGAAAATAGAACAATGTGGAGATATGTTGTTGAAGCCCTACGTTCCATTTAGCACATAAGGGAACGATAATGACTTAATAATAAACAATAATGTCATCTTATGTTTCAAATCGTCGGTTTTTTTTCCTAAAACCATATTTATTCTTTTCCACTCTAGGTTGGTATAACATTTGTAGATAGATTCTATGGAGAATCAAAGCTTGGAGGAACAGAAATTGTCCAATACTTGATGGGTTTATTGCATCTCTTTTGTACTTGTTAATTTTTTATTTGTGATTTTCTAATAGATACTTGACTTCCTACCTGTTTTTTATTAGTTGTACTTTATCAGTCGAAGCATTCTTGCCATTCTATGATTTGTGAGTAGAAAATAGCAGCACTTCAAGCTTCGATCGATAGCCGGCTGTCACTTTTACACCAGAGATGATGTAGGTTGGTGAGTACCAAACCAGCTTTTGTATCCGTGCTTGGATTTCCTCAGTAATCAGTTCACTAGGGCTGAAGCAACTTCCCAAATAAGTGAAGTCTACTCCCTGTCTGTAAACTAGGAGTCGATGTAGTCCATTCCTGCAGCATCACCTTACATTTAACAGGGGCGAATCACATACCAAACATACACAGATTTCTGCTCAAGGATTTCAGAGAACTGCATTTTGTCAGCACCTTCACCTAGAAGGACAGTGTCATCTGCATACCCAAGTCGACGAGACAGTACCCTAGTAACAAGTCGATCCGTAAGTCACTACGGTCACATCTATTAATTATGTCTATGATGACATTATATAGAAATGGGAACAATGATCATCCCTGAAGGACACCGTTGGTTTTCATCACCATAAGCTATTACATGTCTGCATGAGTTCGTATGGAGGGCCTTCATCAATACGGTATAATTTCTTGACACTCCCGCAGCACTTCTCGGTCAATGTAGTCGAGTGCCACCTTCATGTTGAGACGTCTGACCGGTGTTTGATGCCTGTAGGTATGACTATGTTCCAGAATCTGTCAAAGAGCGAAAATATAACCAAAACACCACCTGCCTGGTTTCCCAGGGTTTTCTTTATCCATGGCACCGTTCAGTCCGTTCAGGATCACTGAACCTAGAACTTTAGATACTATATTTTTCAAGCTAATCTCTCAATGATTGTTGCAGGAAAACTTGCATACCTATTTAAAAATTAGGATAATCAATGATTTACACCAGTTTAACGGGTGCATCTCTGATTCTGAGAGATGTAATATCTAAGTTAATCCAATCAACAGTTCGTCACCACCGTCCTTAAACACCACTGAATTCATTCCATCAGAACTCGCTGCTTTGCCCCGCTTCAGACTAAGGATATGTTTTTGAAACATCAGATACAGTTGCAAAACCGATATTGACTTTCACTTCAGGAAGGTATTGGATACTCAGCGAATTGAGCGTGGCTGTAAGACAGCTATATCTCTCCTCAAAGTATTCCCTTCAACGTCCAGCCTTCTGTCCTGACAGCTATTTAATGTGCCGCTTTCCTCAGAGATTGTCTAGTTTACCATTCTTTTTTTACGATCCATTTCACCATTAAGTCTGATTTTACTCATCACTGATGAGTATTCCACAGGTAATTGTCTGATTAAGTTGCATTCTTCAGTAAAATAGTTTTCTTGAACAAAGCAAGAGAGACAAATGTAAAAGTTATATATAAGTATATGTTCCGTGTTAATTTTTTGATAGTGACTAGCAGTGTAATCCAGAATGCGCATTTCTTCTTGTTTGGGGCTCGTCATCTGGATATGCCTGCAATCCCCAGTGAGTGATAGTGTTTCCACTGAAGCTTCCACCCAGCACTGATTGTTTCAAACGAAAACGTATTATCCAATTGACCATGACTCAGAAATGTATCAAGAAGAAATCAATACATGATATTGACGAGATAATATTTCTGAATTCCGTACGCATTTATCTGTTAACAATGCGGTTGTCAGCATTCTCCCTCGAATTTGATCATATGAATTGACATGTACTCGCTGGCCATTTGAAACATTCGACAGTTTACTTAATTTATATGAGGGTTGAAATACTATTTGGACGCTGAAACTGATGTATGGTCGCATCAGCAAATTATTTATATGCTTTTGACTTTAAGTGTACTTTACAGTGTCGCAGACCATCATTCCCATGATTACAGGATTTCATCATGGGTTGACATTGCTTAGAGAACCATTGGAAAACCTGGGAGTACTGGAGAACTGTTTCGTCCTAGTTTGGGACTGTTCATCAGTACGCACCCACCGGGGTTCGAATCCAGGACCTTCTGGTTACATGGCGAGCTCGTATACCATTAAGCCACTGGGACCCGATCCAATGGCCCATGAATTCTAACTTCTGCTAATTCACGATATGGCGTCTTGTAACCAGAAGGTCCTGGGTCCGAACTCCGGTGGGTGCGTAGTGATGGAGAGTCCCAAACTAGGACGAAACAGCTGTCCAGTACTCCCAGATTTCCCGAATGGTTCTCTAACTAATGTCAGCTCATCATGAAATCCTGTTACCAATCAAATCCTTACAAACCAACACTTGAGTTCCCATGATTCTCAATTAACAGAATGTATCTTTTTTTCTGAATTCTGGAGCCTATTTACATTAGTTTGAAGTTGCTTATTCATCTCTTTTTGATTATTTTTAACGTTTCAAACCAGATGTAGATTAATATTTTTGTTGTTTCTAGGTAGACTATTTGGAGGCTCTAAACTACTGTATACAGATTTGGTGTGGTGTTGCACACCTTTCCAGCTCCGTGTGCATATAATTTTTTACAAATCATCTTTATAAAAATGATAATAAACTAATAGCGGTTGGTTTTTTAGCTGCTGATAACAGGTTTGCTAACTGTATAATGACAAGCTGATAGAAACATAAGAATACAGACATTCCAGCAATCTAGATGAGTAGGCTAGGTTTTTAGGAGGTGAAAGCGATGCAACGCTGAAGGATGAAAAATGTTAATGGTTAATAACCCACTAACATGACTTTTGTTTGAGTCAGATGAAGAATAAGAATGAATTTTAAAAACTAAGGGATCTTTTATTCAAACTTACCTGTCCAAAGCAGAAGTAAAAGTTGTATAAATCGTTTCAGAAAGCCAAGGTTTTACTTATTTCCGTAGCCCTATCTGGAAGTAAAGGACTGATTCTATCGTCATCTGAAAGCTTTATTGAAGTCCTAAGGGTTATTGTAAACCTTTCAACTTGATGTATCCCGTGACCAGTATCGACTCAATGCATTGGCATATATCGTTGTAACTGTATATATTCCTTTGCCAGCCAATAAATTTGACATCACTCCTTCTACACCGAGTTAAAGCGTCATGAATAATGAAATTTTTAGACAGTTACTAGTGCATCTTATATTTCCCTTATGACCATGTTATTGTTGAAAAGTGAGCAATAATTCTTATTCCATTATAAATACCGTTTCACTTAGATATGATGGAGGAGATTTATAGCTCAGTTGTCTTCCGTGAACTGGATGGTTTAGTTGCAAGGCTTTCATTATCTTTTTGGACAATACCTTCAGCGCGTGCTTCGAGTTGAATGAAGTCTAACTTTCTTTATATTAAATAACCTTAGCAGATAATTCTAGTTCTATGTACAGTAAACATGATTGTGTTACACAACTTAAAGGATACTTGTACTGATATGAAGACTTAGTTCCCCTGTATATACTCCTACGGACTGATTCTTTTTTGTTCACGTTCTTCTCTAGGACTAGAATTAACTGAAAAATGTGCATTTTTAAGCTTAGTTGACAACTTGTTTCTGATAACGCTGATAACAATAATCGTCTCTACTGAGCATTTCGCCGATATTTTTCATCAAGTAACTGCCTGGTTTGCTGTAAGAAAAACGACTATCCTTATAGAGCACAGTAATGGATCATGGTGATATCAGAGACTTGCTATTAAGGCACATTTATAGTTAGTATAAGGTTTCAAGTTTTATATACCAGGGTGTGAATAGGTAATAAACAATGAGCTTTTCTTATGCCTCTTTATACGCGAATTTCATTGTCTCAATAAGTGGTACTGTGGTGAATAGTTACTGGGCAATATAAAGATGACATTGCTTTCTTGTTTATATCTATACATTTTCGCGGCCTACCTACCTTTTGCAATTAGGGAATTTTGAAGCCCAGAATTTTCGATTAGCAGTTCTATATAATGGGGAGTGTTCGAATTCATTGTGTTCCATAGACTATTTACGCTGTTTACTAAGAGAAGATTTAAAGTCATTGTCAGGATTTTAAGGCTTATTGGAGGTACTGATGATAGCGGCGATAAATCACGAATTGACGAAGTCAAAATTCATGGTCAGTCGAATTTGAGCCTAGATCTCGGATGCAATCCCTAGTAAGGTCGTACATGCGCACTGACGTAGAATCCCAAAACAGGACGAAACAGCTGTCCAGTGCTCCCAAGTTTTCAATGATCTGTCTTACCAATGTTGATTTAGGAGTGTTGCAGTTTCTATAAGACAGAGGGAATAGTCAATTTTTTCATATGTCGATCGTTCAGATGAATAAAGCGTATACACACTTAAAAATGGATAAGTATGCTTAGTGTTCCCTTCCTTGAATACATTTAGTGTAATACTTTTAAAGGCATTAACCAAGTTTATTTACAGAGGTTAGAAAATCACATATATATTTAAAATACACTTGATAATTGCAATAGATTTTATTTCGTTAACAGAAAAGAAAATAGTTCGTTTATGAATATTATTTTGATACCATATGCGTTTTAAAATTCCACGCAGCAAAACAAACTTGATTTTTAAATATATTTGAATGATATAATAGAAGTGATTTGGCATCAATTATTTGTTGCTTATTACAAGAAGTAATCTTTACCATCCTTCAGGTTATATCGTTTATGTTGTGCATGAATTGTCCTTTGTTAAAGAACTCCATCTTCTCTCACCTTTTATAACAGGTAATAAAGTATTTGGTGGTTGATACGTGGGCGCATGAGACTTAATTATCTGTGATTGTGGGATATTCATTAAAGGTGGCAACTTTTGACGTTTTTCTTTCAGCCATTGTGAAGTATTCTCTGGGTTTTGCATTCTTTTAGTATGAATCAAAATTTCCTCAGCCATTTTGTTACCGTTGCTATATAATCTCAAAAATTCATTCTTACCCATTATAAGCCTTTGATTCACTAAGTTGATTAGAGGATCGGCATAAATATCTTCCACTTTCAATTTGCCTAAGTTTGCATGAATTTCAGCCTCCTCTCTAGTCACAACTATAGTATTCCAAGGTGACCATGGTTCATTGATTTTCCATCGAGTTAATGTTAAATCAAATAAATCTGTCCAGCCTGATAGGACTGACCGATTTTCCCAGATTTGATCGATTATAAATCTTATATCTTCTTTGTTTATCAAGAATGGAAGCGGATTTATGGAAACACCCCCGTCATCATCTCCATTGATAATGATATCTGTATCTGGTTGAGGAGATTCACCTCGTTCTAATCTTTGTAGTTCTGCCTCTCGAGCATTGTCCTTTGCAATTTTTTTCATTTTTTCTACTAGTCTAGACTCATTTTCTCGTAGTTCTAATAGTATATATTGATATGGCTCAAGATCTAGTCGATTTCGTCCTCGATTATCATTTCGTCTGCATGATTCGCACGGAACTAGACTGTTAGCTCGTGCACTGAGTGGGAAGAATTTTTTCTTCAGGTATCGCCCACACGATACGCAGTATTGAATATCCTGTACTAATGATGGTACATCTCCTTCCTGTGTGTTTGTGGGTACCGCAAGGTATTTTCCCACTTCTGGGTTAACTTGAGGTAACTTTGCGAATTGAATGAATCTATTCCGAATTCTCTGCCTCAGTCCAGATAACTGTTCGCATGGAACACCACGCATAATTAACTCTGCTTCTCTGTCAACTAGTCCAACTATCTCCCTGCTAAGTTTCATATTATATGGAGTAACTGTTTGTTTTAGCGTCAGAAGTATGTCTAGTCTTTCATTTTGTGTTAAACTTTCCAGACTTAAACTTTCATATATATCTAGAAGCTCTTTTGCTCGATTCGTTTCAGCAGTTGCAACTTCAATCATTCTTCCATCAATTGCAGATGTCCATCGGTGCGGAGCAGCAGCTTTTTTTAGACAGTGAGACCGAATTTTTTCTGCATTCTTCTTGGTTATACATATCTGGTGTCTGGTTATAGCTGTTATCAATTCAGCCTCTTCATTCAGTATTAAGGCTAAAGCTGCTTTCTTTTCTGCTTGTGTTAAATTTTGCTCTTCTATTTTCTGTACTTCTTCTCTCCTCCATGCTTCCAAGGCATTGTACAATCTGTCAAAGTCAGCTGCAGTTTTCGGATGAAGCCTTCGCTCAAAGTCATGCGCCATTCTTCTTGCAATTTCGTCTTTATATTCCTGAGCTTTGGCTTCCTCCCAAGCCAGATAATCATCTCTCATCTTCTTTAAACGCGCCACTCTTTTCTTTGCAAGCCATCGACGTATATACTTTTGAATGATGATAATCTACAAAGTAATAAAAAAGACTGACACTTTACTATCTTGAGTTTTTTTTGAGACATCAATATTAGTGATGTTATTTGATCGTTTGTTTTCTAAAGATAATTCAAGTAACATTTGGCGAAACCTAACGAGGTAAAAGTCCGCTGTCAACCCATGTTTATGCATTATTAGATAGCAAGACAGTTTATGCAGTTTAGTTAAACCACCTGGTCTTACATTCCTGAGCAAGTTGGGTGGGCTTGAAATCTATTATGAACTGGTTACTTGAAATAAAAAAGTCACGGCTTGACTAGGAAATTTTCATTCTCGAACCGAGTGTCCTACACTTTCTTTTTACTTTAGAAATTCGATATTTACCATCTGATTGAATTCTGACGAGAAGTATTTGTGTTGTTAGTATACTTCGTTATGCAATTTAATTATGTATTTGTATACTCTTTTAGAAACTATTTACATTTGTCTATATGTAAAAGTAAAATTGTTGTTTTTGTTATGAAAAGTACCTTTAATTGATTCATTTGTGTGCATATTATTTGTGAGACTTTCAGTCTCATTGGTTCAGATACTCGAATTTCAATCATATACCTTGGGTTCGAATCCCTCCACAACAATTAGGGTTTAGGCAACTATATAGTATTTTCTACCTAATCCAGCGGATATCACTCATTACCAAATCCATAAAGACGTTTCATTCACTACTTCTTAGCTGCTAGTAGACTATCTAACTTCCCTGGCCTAGGTACCAATTCTATGGTACCACTCTCTATTTACGTTATTAACTGATAACTGCTTCAACTGTTTTGTTCTCAACATGAGGTCTTTATGGATACCATTTTATTAGTTAAATGAAGGGTGTGATTTCTTGACAACTTTTAACATTTCAAAGCTTTACATCCACTGATTTTCAAAACCATTTTCCTTCGAATAAAGTATAATTATATTTTAATAGTTTACACACAATAATAAGTTTTGTTCTTGGTAATATTTCGAGCAAAATTACTGTCCCTGTTCACACCAGCTGTTGGAATTATTTTCTTTATTTGATCTATTCCACAATGCTAAAACTTTTCACTGACATTAAACCATTTCCTTCTCCACTATTGTGTATTCTGTACGTTGGAGTAATGATGATAAAGTTTTTTTCAAACATGCGATGACGTAATGAGACATGTGCAACTGATTACTAGAATATCAGTTTTATAATGGTTAGGGCGGTGAATTCAAGTACGAAACGTTCGAATTTGAAACTGGAGTTCGTTAAATATTACAGTACATGCACCTGAAAAATTTATTTGAGTTTCGCAGTAAGAACTTTTATCTTCTTGTTTAATTACTCATTCCTCCCACAGGCTTCAATACTGGTACTAAATGTTATGCATCTTAAAAAATATTTGCATCGGCTTATGCACGCCATCTTGTATGGTATATAGATCACAGCTATCACGTTATAATAAGTCAGTGTAAAGAGCTGGTTGATCACAGTATATTTAAGAAACGGGAAAATCCGATGTTTCCCAAGAAATGTTTTGAAGATGTTAACTCAAATATTGCAGAATGTAATTTCAGCTGAAGATTAAACGCAAGTACTGAAACTAACTAAGTAGCCCAAACACCTTAAAAAAGTAACCTCGCCATGTAATATTACATATGAGGCTATGCAAAAATCTTTTCACATATATATGCACTTTAAAATTTAAAATATCTTACCTTCTGCAATACTCGAGCAAGATATTCATCCGCTGACTCATATGGTCCAGGAGTTTTCACTCTATCTTGACTATTCGACACAAAAAATCCTGGCATTGAAAACTGCGTGGACATATGATTAACTGTCATATTTCCAAAATGACGCATTTTGTATGTCTGTGTATCCTCGATGTGTGCACAGTTTCCTTAATTTTCCGTGGTAATGGTTTTGTTTGTGTGGATGCATTATGGTATTTGTAGTCTGTAAGAATATTCCTATAGCCGCCCAAGAATGGTTTATGATGGTTATGTGGCAACCAATTTATGTGTATATATTCTTGATCCTTGTGTGTTCCACCTCCTTTTTGGACTAACATAATACTTTGTTGACTGTAAGGGTCTTCTGTTACCGTTGTTTTTCTACCATAAATTTTAACAACAAGTCCTGAGGTGTAGATTAATTCACGGCTTCCTAGCTTAATTTTTAATGAGTCCTCAGCATTTCGTAATAAAAGTGAGAAATTTACTAGCTTATTCTCCTCTGCTAAAGTAATCAGGGGAGTATCAAAGCTTACCAGTTCACCTTTGTATTTAAGCGTAAAGTTTTCTTGTTTCAAACCAGTATCGCTGACTAACAAAATTATAACATCTGAGACAGTGTATTCCTCAGGAACAAAAAATATTTCCGTCAATATTCCATAGGCCGAATCTATGTGAACAGATACGCTGTCTTTGGGTTCGCTGTAGAAAACAGGAAGATCATACTTCACATTATCATGTATATAAGGATCCTTGATGGAATTAGAGGCTTCTTTTACATTGTTTGTATTACCATTGTATCTAACGTCGTCTTCACTTTCTTCCATTGTAGTGCCGAGTGTGAGGAAGTTTGAGGACTCCTGATGCTCGGTGTCTTGAACATTTGTTCCGAAATCCACTCGGTCGCTGTTTCGAGGTTCAATAGGTTCTTCAGAAAATAATCCATCATTCATATTCGTATTCTTATCTTCCTCTTCGAATGACTTCTCTTCTTTGTCACTCTCCATCTCCCACACAGCTTTACTTTTGGAACTTCGATCACAGATTACTTTTGTTCATATACATAACCTGATATCAGCACTGTAATACCGGTCTTCAACTTTGCTGAAAAAGGAACAGAAGTGCATCAATCCTTCACATATCTCAGTTTATTGAGTATAAAAGTTACTTATTAAGAAGAGAAAGTATGTTTACAGGAAACACTGTCGACCACAGTAATACCATAATTCTGACGGCTCCAGCCAGTTGGTATCCATCATCTCAATGCAGAAAAATTTCCAGTTTAATAATAAAGTAACTTTTGTTATAGAACCAGTGGAAACCAAAGAATATTGGGAAGTTGTTTCATTATTGTTCGGGACTATTTTGCAGCACTCACCCTTTACCCTACCAGACGTCAAACCTAGTACCATCAAGTTGTTGACCATTCATACTCCGGGATGGAATCCAATAGTACATTAATCGTAACTTGACATGTCGCAATATATAGCGTAACAACCAGCCAACGTTATTGGTGAGTATTTTTCCCACATGCAACACGGTGGACCCCGCTTGTTACGAGTACTCACCAGCAATTCAAGCAGCTTCATCATATAGTCAGTCACTAGTGAAAACTGTATTTTCTTTCAAGAGTTAAATCGCAGGAACCTGACTGATTTCAATTTCGGTCAAGGACTGACTTCAGTTGAAGAACCCCTTGAAAAACAGGGAGTTCTGTGCAGTGGGGTTTTGAGTCCATGTAGCTGGATTCCCCCGCACAAGGACAAAACGGTTTTTTAGGGTTGCTTGGTTCCAGTTGTTCTCCAACTTAAGCCAGTTCCTAGTCAAACTTTAAATCAATCGAATCCCAGCAAAGCCAACACTTGAAAACCAAAACGAATTGTCAATCTAATTTTTCAGACCACAAGCATGTTTACAACTACTTACAGAAGCTACTAGTAATGACATATCCAACCGCAAAAGTCTTATTATTGAGCCCAGTCAAATAATTACAACCTTCCAACTAAGCCATACGATTAAGAGTTCAGCTTTGATCGATAAAATTAAACGTTATAAAATGGAGTACAATTAAGCTTTGACGTTCATTGTCAATTTGCGCTACGACTAAATGTAACAAGCATTATGTGAAACTTAACAAAAGTCTCGTGATTTGTGCATGCATTTATGACAGTGCGCCTATTACATCCACTGAATAACTCCATGTTAGCACGCTTATACTTTTCGTAAGCAAAAGAACATTTTTCTTATTAGTTAAGCCTGGTCATATGGGTTCTTTTTAACAAATTATGGTTATTTCACTACGGCCTTCTAAAAGAAGATGAAGACAGGGTGTATCTATTCTACTTTTATTAGTTTCATAAATGGCGTTGACCGAGGTTTATTGGAGGATTATTCACATTCGCCCGGCTAGTGTTTATCTTAGTCCGAATTTCTGAGTGAAGTGGTATTAAACTATAAAAAACAAACTTTTATGGTTTAACATTTCCTGTTTTTGGAAAGAACTTAGATTGCATCTTTTCTAGATGAATCACCAGTTTCGATAAGAGGGTGGTTATTGGAATAGGATCGACTCTGAGAAAAACCTAGAATTTCTGACGGCATCATAAGGGAAGGAATTCACCTATGAATTAATCAGTATATTTTTTCATCGTAGATGGAAATAGAATACATATTAGATGCTAGTAGAACAACCTAAAGCAACAAACAAAGAAGATCCGTTAATAAATTTGTGACCTATCTGGTAAAGAGAATGAATAAGTCAATGGTTCATGTGAACTTTTGAGTGCCTCATAAGTTGTTTTAGCAATTACTGTCCAACATTCACTTTGTCAACAATTATAGATTTTTTAAGATTGTTAACCTTCTCCACAAAAACGTCTGTTCTGCGTACATTTTAAATGTCAAGCGCGTGCTACAAACTTAAATCGTTTATTTTCGGCATGCCGTAAGAATTTCAATTGCTCTATTGTTGTGATTTTCTAGCCAGAAAACTAGTGGCTGTGCAAAGTATGTGCTCTCATACGAGTAGAGAAAAAGCCTCATGATACTAGGATCAAGAGAATACCGTCTGAATCACTTTCAATTAGACATGAATAATAAAATCTTCCTTCCTTCACACACTTTTGCGGAGGAGTTATCTTGAACAATGTGTCGAAAATATCTAGACGTTTTTTGTTGCTTAGTATGTGAATTAGCAACGCCTACCAGTAAACTATGGAGGATATTAAAAATAACATCCATTTCACATACAAATTTAATGAAACGTAGGATTCAAGTATATTTTCAAAAACTTTGGTTGCACTTCAGACCACTTGTTATATGATCCTATTATGTAATTCTTTGAAGAAGCTCCTTTATCCAACTTCACATGTAGCATTATTATTTATAACCATGTATTTTGTAGGTTTGACTTTCATTCCAACCAAAAATGACTTTGATTATACCACATGTGCTGTGAATGCTTTATTGGCTCCAGCACACAACAATCTCCTCTCATGGTCATTCATTTTCGTCATACTAAAGTTAATATTTTGTACATAATAGTTTTCCTATTACGTTTACTCTTTCTATAAGCAAGGAATTGAAGAAGCAGAAATACCAGCTAACGATTTCTTCGGGTCAACTACAGGTACTTCATAGCAAAACTCGGAAAGAGATGATGAAATTGGAGCAGTTTTCTTAAGTGGATATTAAGTTTGTCCCAATCTTCTGCAATGCGACCAAAGTCAGTGCTACCTGGAAAACCAACCATATTATTCACTGGTGATTCCACAATAACCGCAACAAACTAGATACACTAAGCCGTAAACCATAGATATCTAACTTAAAATGTAAACCATATTCTTCTTCCGTTTTTCCATGCCACCGTAGACATGAAAAATGAAGATATGTGGTTAAATGATTCTCGGTTCAAATTTCAGAGAATTGACAGTGCTCCAGCATTATGCTCAATACTCATAATTATGGTGATTAAGTACTCTATAATCTGGTTATCGCACATAACTCAGAGGAATATGCACAAGTCTCATGCAACGATCAATATTTTACGTTTATTTCAGCCATTCTCTGAGTCTTGTGGTTATTTTTTGCATGCAATAAACAGCAAATAATTCTAAAATACATGACTGGATTCCAGGTTACTTCTAGCTAGGTGTTTTAAATCAAGATGAAGAATTAAAAGATTATAATCTCAACTATAGTTGAGAATAACAATCATAATATTAACAAATGACATTCAGATATTTATCAAAATTACTTTCTTCCCCTGAGACCCCATGGCAAGTCGATGTGGAAGTGATAACTTGTTACTTAACAACTTCTAGATTTATTTTCTGATTTTTGGCTTTAGCGCCACTGTATCCAGGACTCCAAAATAACCTTGACTCTTCGCAAAGCATTTAAAAAGAGGACAACTCCTTAAATCTATGTCTTGTCTCAATGTTCAATATCATTTGATTGATTTCTGTGTGTTCGCTTCTTAATTGTGAGGTAAGTTTCCTGGTCTTCGGCAAACTTCTGAGAAGTTCGTCCCGCTATTCAACTTCAGTTTACTCCGAAGGAAGTAGTGCTGGGATTAATTAATTGTGTGTGGTTTGTAGTATGAGGTGTGTTAAGACTGTTACTACTGTGAATGGAGTTGATCCTTCCACCAGTTAGTCCTCCGGTACCGTCAACAAGAGAAAAGAGATAACAATAGATACAATTAATTAAGTTATTCGGACTAAGAGACAGAAAAAGAAATAAGAAAACGTAACCACAGTCAGCTGGTTCAATTTGAGAATAATATATATATATATCGATAATAATGGTAAGTGTAGTTAAAATTGTTAGAAGAGTAAGACGGGAGAGAATATAAAGAAGTAAAACGACGAGTTTAATTGTCTACTCCTGAATGGTGTATGAGATTTTAGGGTATAGGCCATTTGGATGCAGTCCTTGTGTCGCTGCATGGTTGTCCAGCATTCGCTCAAAGACGTCCAAAGACGGTGCCATAACTGCACATACCGGTAAGGAATTCCAGGTACAGCAAACACGCAGTGAAAAGAAGTGTGAGCGCACCCGATTCTTTGCCCTCTGGTGAGCTATCCTTCTGGGATTTCCACGTGGGAGCCTATACCTACTCAATGGCAGAATACCTTTGTTTGGGTGATTCTGGTCATTTGTTATTTTGTAGGCAGTGGTTAAATCCCCATAGCTAAGTGTGAACAGGCCTAATTTCTTCAGCCTTTCATCATATGGTTTGTTTTGGAGACCAACCACTCCTTTTGTTGCCCGTCTTTGAACCCTTTCCAAGAGGTTGGTGTCTCTTCTCAGCATTGGGGTGCAATAATATTATGCACTTCAAGATGTGGTCTGGCGTATGTTTTGTACAACCTTAGAAAGAGCTCAGGAGCGAGTGCACCTGTCTGTGTGTAAAATGTATGACCGCATGTGCCCTCGCCGTATCCCCTGTGTATTTTCGCTTGTGTCCATTTTTTCCGTTAGAACTAGACCTAAGTCGCGTTCCAACGTTGTGCAGGACAAGCTTTCATAGCACGGGGTGTAACTTGCATTCTGCAGTCTACAGGTGCGCAACTTCACTACTTTGCACTTCTTCAGGTTGAAAGTCATTCCACTGGCCACCACCCAGTCTTCCAGAAGGTTTAGGTCTTCCCATAGCCTATCTGAGTCCTCCGGACACTTTATTGCCCCCCATATCTTTACGTCGCCAGCGTATAGAAGAGTTGGACAGCTTGGACAGCATGGTAGATCATTGATAAAAATCAAAAATATCAGCGGTCCTAGGATAGAATCTTGCGACACTCCTGATGACGAGCTGTGCCAAGATGATCGAACTCGGTTAACCCTAGTGCAAGATAGCCTGTCAGCTAGGTAGTACTTTAACCATGACAGAAGTGGCTCACCTATACCTGCCTGGCTTATTTTGTGTAGGAGAAGGTCATGGTGAACAGTGTCAAATGCCTTCTCAAAGTCTAGGAAGACCACATGGACTGGAACATTCATATCA